AACACGGCACAAGGATCTTTCTTCCCATTAACATCTTATTCTAAGAAAACTTTACAAAAAAATGTCCCGAAAAGCGATTAAAAATACAAACGCAATGTGCTCATGCCCCCTGGGTATCCTATAATACTCTTTAAATCGAATTAATTCAATATGGCCGCCGTATCGGTAAAAAGGTCTATTGGGAAAACAAAACATACTTGGGTCTATTAATCAATTGACAAGTAAGTAAACAGTCATCCTTAGAGGGAGACTGGTATATTGTTACTTTAGTAAACTTTTTTCTTGAAGACCAAACAACAAATGGAATCAACCTATCTCAGGTTTTGCAGATAAAAGTTAACTGCTATGCTAACAACTTGATTAGACAATATTGCTGGTTTGCAGATTATGTCAATGTGACGGCCATATTAGTCAACAAGCATTAAAGTGTTTCCCTCCACCAGGAACTTAAGTCACTTTTCAGGTAAATCCTCTGAGAAAACTGAATAATTATTTCACCAACCAACAAGGCCAGCTTATCATGCGATTGTAAACCAACAATGTACGGTATGATCAAGTGGATTTTTCAGCAAATTTGCTTTAACTCCAGGGGTGTACAAAGATAGGAGAATGAAAAAACAGGCTTTACCACAATAAATGACCACATCAAGTTGTTTTGCTACTTTAGGCTTGACGATTCAAACACAGTAAATCAAGGAAATGTGAAGGCCTTTGAAAACTTGTTCAATCCATTGCTTTTAAGAATATTCTACCAGTAAATCTGAAATGCTGTTTATACTTAGCCTGGCCTAATCACTTTCTGTAATCAAACTCCAATTGTTTGATTGACTTTGATTGAGTTTATTAATCAAACATAATCGAACTCACCCAAAACACTTTAACACTCGAACATAATCGAATGTTCGAAAACAAAGCTTCAACAATCGTATGTAAAAACACTTACGTCTGGTCTCAAACAAGGCATTACAGTTAAAAAATAAGTTATGAGTTGGCTTCAGTTTCAAACACGAGTACACAAGCAAGATGTAGAATAGAGAGTGAAAAATGTGAAACCCAGTGTGAAACAGACAATATCAACTGATGGTTCTTTTACACTCGGTGTCAAGAAAAAGGGGAGATACTGTACAGTGTAGGAGTCCAGCTCTTAAGGTAACCAATGATGATGGCTGCAGCCACCTTGGACTTTGCAACATGAACTGGTGGCTGTGCATTGGCCATTGGCCATTGACCGTCAAAGTGTTAGGCCTGGAACAGCTCAGCCATTATTTTCACCTAGCCCAGCCTAGATTTTTGCCTTTGGAACAACTTTGGATCAGCTTTGATTCAGACACGGAACTTTTCATGTACCGAACCTAATGTATAGCGTATCTGTAAGCAGTTTGACTGAAATGAGCATTTTCGTTTTTTAAGCTTTCTTTTCGAATTAGGTTCGGCTCATGAAAAGTTCAGCGCCTGAACCAGGCCTCAGTCTTAAGCCCACTACCGTTATTAAGCTCTGCCAGTATTAATTTTGAATTTATTGATTTTGAATATTTACTTCAACTGAAAGAAGTTTATGTTTTCACACCTGCCTCACATACACACATGTATAAGAGAGAAATCTTTCCAATTCATTTTAAACCAAATACTTACTGTTTTTTAATATCATTTTGTCTTTCAGCCAAACAAAATCAAACACATCGCATTGATTAAGTTTGATTAACTTTGGTAATCAAACTCACAAGTTCCATTAACATAACTCACCGCAGAGTTCCAGTTGGATTACATCCGCTTACCAAACCAATCAAACAACAATTGACTGACTTGGCTCAATTGAGTTGACTGATTTTTAGTTCAGTTTTGTTCGATTGACTAGGCCGTGATTTAGATCTTCAATAGAGGTAGGTCAAAAAAATGAACCAGCTAGGAAAGGATGCCACCTGAAGGACCCATGCCTCTAGCTTTTATCTCTTCATTTATGGAAGTAAGCTTTTCCATATAAAATATACTTAAACCTACATTTCTGAACATTTCTTCCGCATCATGGGCTTAAAATAATGATGCGATGAATTCAGTCATAGCAAAAATATAAGATGCTGCGTATCAGCTTGATGAAAGACTATATAGTATTACTTACACTGCACGTGTAGATATACATGTATATTTCAGCAAAGAAAAAAAACGTAAATTAATAGACATACATTTAAAATCAGCTACCACTGCAATTCGGCAATCTGGTGAATGATCAAAATGGACTGTGGTGGAATTACAAACATTTCCGCGAGGCACGTACGTGCAGTACAATCAAAAGTAGTTGCATTTAATAAAGAACCTTGGAACAATAGGCTCACTTCTTCTGTTATCTCCGAAGAAAACAAGAAAACCTTTAGAAGTAGGCTTCAATCTGGGTTTAAGCGAAGAAAGTTTTGTTGACGAATTTTGCTACGTAGTTTAACAACTTAGGCGGAAAATCTTGGCAAATAAGGTCAAGGTAAAAACAACCCTGTGCCCTGCAGAACATGGCCATTGTGTCAAGTGTGGTTCTTGTGACGTTCAGTCCACATTCATGAATATAGCAGTATTTAAACGAATTCTAAACACAGCAAAACTTAAAAATGTTTAAAAATGATTTAAATACCTTGTACAGGACATAGAAAAGCTCCAATATGCCCTAGCTAAGTAGGGGCCTCATTCAACATTCACGGTCAGCTTCTCCCGGTAGACTATGTAACCACGCGTAAATGTTTGTGCACGTGCTAAAGCCTCGGCATCGTGTAATTTGCTGTTTTGCGAAAACGTTCGGTTTGTTTGCCCAGACCTAGCCTGAGATCATGCCCTCTCCCTATTATCCCTTTATGTGCCAAAGAAGCAAAAAAAAATAAATAATAACGCCTGATCTCAGGTTAGCCCAGACCAGGGGCCCAGACAAACGGGCAAACAAACCAAATCTATTTCGTAAGGCTTCGTTTCACGTTATTTTTCAAGCTCAAAATCTAGGAAAACCAAAAGCAGAAAGCCTAACTTGTCCTTAGTCTGATAATGTTATTTATTTATTTATTATTTTTTATTAGCTATGTTTATATTTTTATTCTTTTAACTCTTCTTGATGTGTATTTAGCGTTGAAGAGTATTAAAGTAGATGTGAAATAAAATTTGTTGTTTTGTTTTTGGTATTTTCATATTACCCCAGGCTTCCGATCTTTCGGGTAGCAATCCCACGGGCATGGGAGGAGGAGGGGTGGGCCACTTACTACTTTAAAACTTAAATAGCATAAGAAAACCTTGCCAATTAAATTTTTACCATTTACAAGCAAAATTTTCCTTGTCGCCTACATATATACGTACCTTCAACTGAGCTTTCCACCCTAATCGATATTTCTTCGACGTCTTTTCTGATCTCCGACGATGAACAAAGCTTATCGTCGGTTTCTTCATCGGATACTTTCATTAATTTCCGGTCGATTCGGCGGACAATGAAAGCATATAGCTTAGTCTCGCTGAAAAATGTCAAAGCACCAAGGAAGAAATAACACATCAGATTGATGTGTCCTCATACCTAGAAATCTCACCGTGATCGTTTGCGAGAGATTTCTCAAAAGAATTGGTTTGACGTAATAATTAAATTTTATTCTGCGTCATCATAACCACAGTCAATAGAACTTGAATTGGCAAAAAAGGAGATTTTGTGTAACACGGTTCTTAGTTTTCAGGCAAAACAACAACAAAAAAAACAGGGGCACCCAACGTCAATTTTCGGAAAATATCTGTTCGGAAGACGATTTGGAATCTAGAATTTTCGGAACATTTGTTGTAAAATTTATTATTTGCCCATTTTTAACGGATTTTTACGTTAAAAAGGTCACCTAGAATTTTCGGGAGCCTTTTTTCTGGCTGAAATTTTCGAAAAGGTAAGTTTTGATCCCTATAATTTTTTGCCTGCGTGGCATGCGTTCGAAAGGGAAGGGGAAGGGAATTAGGGCGAGAGACCACCCGCGCGCGCCCATATTTCCGCTTCCCCTTCCCCTTTTAACGCCTGCCACGCAGGCTATATAATTTTCGGATCACTAGACTTTCAGCTAGGAAATCCAAACAGATGAAAAATTTTTTAGGGGATAAAAACATGCCTGCATGTACCGTTTAAATACTAAAATACGTTTAACAATGCTATTTAACTGGTTTTGAACTATATTCTCGTTGGGTACCCCTGAAAAAAACACAGCAAACAATCAAAGAAAGAAAACCGATAAACCCCAGGCTGAGACTTTGGAAAGGATATTATTTTGTGAGTCAAAATCTGTAAATACAATACCAATAATACAGTATGTTTTGAACTTATCCCTTCCTTAAAACGGCAAAACTAGCCAACAAAGCGAAAAATCCTGCACTAACTATAATTCAATCATACCCCAATATATTCTAGAACGGAAATGTCACAAGCTATAATTTAAGATTAACACAAGAATATTTTCAGCCTAAAATCGGCGGTCCAGCAGAAAAAGAAGAACATTCAGCCTGGATCGAAAAAAACACGCATCTTCTGAAAAAAAAAAAAAAGAGTGTATGCGTCTTTCATGGCATCAGCTGTTTCGCTGGTTCCTGAGTGGCTGAACGCGCTCGTGCCTGGAAAATGTGATTTACTCTCGCCTGGAAGACAAGAGAAAAGCAAAACAAACAGGACTTTTTGATTAGCTCCAAAGCACATGAAGAGAAACTAGAAAGAGTTTAGAAAGTTTCACTGAAGTTTGTTAGCCTGCGGTCTCAGTCACGATGTCAGCGACACATTTATAATATTATGGGCTGTTCGCGCCAACTGGTTCAAAGTGATTCGATATTGAAAGAGAGAACAAAACAGCACCTGATTTCTCAAGCTTAAACTACTGAGTCAAATAATCGTTATTTTCGCAATAACCGAGGAGTAGTAGCCGAAGGTTTACAAAGACAAACTCCAGCGAGGTATTTTTGCAAGATTTTGACGTGGATCGAGGTGGTAGTGAAACTTGCAAGGTGCTGTTTCAGGTGAAATGCCTCGAGGTGAATCGGGCTCTTCTCCGAGAAAGAGAGCGGCTGCCACTGAGCTTCATGAGAGACTGAGCAAAGACGAGCTTATTAAGCGTTTAAAGGTGAGAACAGATAGGTTTATGAATAACAAATAATGCAGAAAACTGCACTTGCGATTCACTGGTTGAGTTTGTGTCAGAGAGTGCAGGGTTTTCTATTTTGTTTATCCTAAACTGTGCTTTAATAGCTAAGTGACTTCATGCCGTACAAATATGATGACCAAGTACAGAATTAATCGCACCTGTCGTGGAGTGGATTATCGACGAAATGATAGCATACGGAATCTTTTATTCAAATAATAATTATTCTTGGCCTGCACTATTAACGTTGAAATTGGTTATTGGGCTTCTTGGTATGAAATCTGCTGAAATATATTCAAGCCTTAAACACTTGACAGGAAAAAGGCTCTGAGGCTTGAATTTTAGGCTTTACTGCAAATAACCTATTTATTATTCCTGGCCAGGAATAAAAGGTCTTTAATTTCTTTTTATGTGGTCATTTAATAAGGGTTAAGAATTCCAGCAGCAGGGGAAAGGTGTAATGTTTCAGGAGAATATTTTGAAAGCAGCTCCACGACTGAATAAAAAATAATCAGAGGCTGCCAAACGTTAGCTGGAGAATTCTGCGTAGTAAACGGAGAATTCTCTGATCTCCTATGCCTAATGAACACCAGCATTTTTCTTTCATCGTATGATTCGGTCAGTTTAAAACACGGACCGCAGACTGCGGACTACGGACTGTGGACTGGGTATAAAACACGCACTAGGTATAAAACGCGGACTACGGACTGTGTATATAAAAACAGCTTTAGAAAGGTAAAACTTAGAGAAAGGGATAGTGGACTAGCATAAAACAGTAGTCCCAGCTCCTTGCCTTATACCCAAACATTCCTTTGGCTGGTCATGCAGTCTATTCTCCTCAACATTAGTGGGAGAAGGAACGCATACTACACTGGCAAGGAAGGTTAATGCCACTACTCAAGGCAACTGAAAATGAAACTCTGAATTTTATAAAAAGGAGGAGTTAGAAGAGAATTCATTCTATAGTTTTAAACCAATAGAAGATATGAAATTGAGAGGCACCAAACAAATAGTATTGGTGTTAGTGAGAGTGAAATTCTTATAGGTGCCACAATTCCATTTCAAAGCCTTGGGATATGAGGAAATTAAGAACCCAGACCAGAGGGTCAATATAGAGGTATTCTGTGATGCAAAAAAAGCTGTATTTAGGGGGAAGGGGTACTCACCTATACGTGAATAACAACCAAAATAAATCATCCAACATTATATATTCTAAGCAATGATAACATGATTTACACCGATGTAAACATGTACATAGCGTTTGTCATGGATGTTAGAGACCGAGACCAGGTCTAAAAATGGGTGTAGAAAATAGCATTTTGGTCAGGCTTAGGATTTGGAGAACTGGGTGGCACACCTCCACCAAGAATTTCTGGGAGTATAAAAACTATAAAAACTATAAGTAACTTAAACTCATGTGTTGTGCTATTACTGATGTAGTCTGTAGTGCGCATTTTATACCTAGTCTGTGTCTTATTCCCAGTCCGTGGTCCGCAGTCAGCAGTCCGCGTGTTATACTGACCATTGTATGATTCATTAGCAGGCCTGTCAACCCCCCACATCTTTAATATTGAGGGATGATAGATGACATCATAACATGCAGCACATGACGTCATTGGTGTAAAAAATACTCGTTGATTCTGTCACGAATTTGCAATGGCACAAAATGAACAAAAAATATGTTGTTGGCATTATAACATTTGGCCTGATTGGTTTACTTCCCACCAATCACATTATCATTTTACAAGGGCAGTGGACTTTACGAGGAAACGTTCATTGTTAACATTAAAATAGCTCAAACAATGCAAAATAGATGAAATTTTATGGACGGAAAGTCGAGTCTACTGAAGAAATGGCAAACTTTGGCAATATTATTGTGATCTTGGGGGGGTTTGCCTGAAACCCAGAATCTGGAAACTCTATACTGAATGACGAATGACTCTGAAGTCTATTGATTAGGTTTAGGAAACTGTGTGAATCAGGTTCCATTTAGGTTTGAGTCATCAGTAACATGCAATGCATTTTGGGATCGATTCAAGATGGTGGTATAGAAAAACGGTATTGTTTTTGTTTTTAATTTTGGTTCATACACAAGCTGAGTCATAATGAATTGCTGTACTGGTTAAGAATCCGAGTGGAAAAATACTGTATTTGTGTGTTTTGATCCCTCAATCTAAACATGTCACTGGGAAACTATCTCTCGGTTCGGTTATTTTAAGATCACGGTTATGACATGGTACCAGAGACGATCGTTAAATCCTAGGGCTTGTAGGCTGCTGTTGTTGTTCATTTTAGACGGTCCTCGAATTAGACTTGAGCTAATAACGAAGGTTTGAACTGTTTCTACTTATTCATTGAACAGAAGTACAGTTTAGTACTTTGACTTAATAATAAGTAGCAGTCATGCATTTTATTTGAATGTTTCATGGTCAAATTAAGATTTGACTACCACTTATTTTCACAGAACCTTGCTCATGAGCTATCGAGTGCTGATCAAACCGATGGAGAACCCAAGTATCATGATGTGGCGCAGTCTCTTGTCAACCCGTTTATTCTTAAGCACAGAGATAAAGATGTTAAAGTGCATGCTGCATGCTGTATGGCTGATATTTTAAGAATATTTGCTCCCGAAGCTCCTTACAATGAAGAACAGTTAAAGGTAATTACAGTTATGAGCGGTGGTACTGTTCAGATTGTGTACTGGCAATAAAGGGTGCATGACGTAGTGGTCAGCATACCACACTTGCTGTCAGGGGTACACTGGTTTAAGCTCCACTATCTAGTTACTAGCTGGAGTCTTCAGAGTTGATTACCTTAACCACCCTTGTTGTGCCTCCTACACAGCACCAGTCACAACTATTAATTTCTTTTCCTCCCACTAGTGAGTTCTTAATGCTCACTTGCCTTTGAGTTGTAATTAAGAAATGGTGAACGTGTAATGATTAGTATAAAAACTATAAAAACTATAAGTAACTTAAACTCATGTGTTGTGCTATTACTGATGTAGTCTGTAGTGCGCATTTTATACCTAGTCTGTGTCTTATTCCCAGTCCGTGGTCCGCAGTCAGCAGTCCGCGTGTTATACTGACCATTGTATGATTCATTAGCAGGCCTGTCAACCCCCCACATCTTTAATATTGAGGGATGATAGATGACATCATAACATGCAGCACATGACGTCATTGGTGTAAAAAATACTCGTTGATTCTGTCACGAATTTGCAATGGCACAAAATGAACAAAAAATATGTTGTTGGCATTATAACATTTGGCCTGATTGGTTTACTTCCCACCAATCACATTATCATATTACAAGGGCAGTGGAAATGGGGAAACGTTCATTGTTAACATTAAAATAGCTCAAACAATGCACAATAGATGAAATTTTTTGGACGGAAAGTCGAGTCTACTGAAGAAATGGCAAACTTTGGCAATATTATTGTGATCTTGGAGGGGTTTGCCTGAAACCTAGAATGCGGAAACTCCATGCTGAATGACGAATGACTCTGAAGTCTATTGATTAGGTTTAGGAAACTGTGTGAATCAGGTTTCATATCGGTTTGAGTCATCAGTAACATGCAATGCATTTTGGGATCGATTCAAGATGGTGGAATAGAAAAACGGTATCGTTTTTGTTTTTAATTTCGTTTATACACAAGCTGAGTCATATTGCTGTACTGGTTAAGAATCCAAGTGGAAAAATACTGTATTTGTGTGTTTTGATCCCTCAGTCTAAATATGTCACTGGGAAACTATTGGACCTCGGTTCCGTTTTTTTAAGATCATGATAATGACAAGGTACCAGAAACGATCGTTAAATCCTAGGGCTTGTAGGCTGCTGTTGTTATTCATTTTAGACGGACCTTGAATTAGACTTGAGCTAATAAAGAAGGTTTGAACTGTATCTACTTATTCATTGAACAGAAGTACAGTTTAGTACTTTGACTTAATAATAAGTAGCTCTCATGCATTTTATTTGAATGTTTCATGGTCAAATTAAGATTTGACTACCACTTATTTTCACAGAACCTTGCTCATGAGCTATCAAGTGCTGATCAAACCGATGGAGAACCCAAGTATCATGATGTGGCGCAGTCTCTTGTCAACCCCTTTATTCTTAAGCACAGAGACAAAGATGTTAAAGTGCATGCTGCATGCTGTATGGCTGATATTTTAAGAATATTTGCTCCAGAAGCTCCCTACAATGAAGAACAGTTAAAGGTAATTATAAGTATGAGCAGTGGTACTGTTCAGATTGTGTAGTGGCAATAAAGGGTGCATGATGTAGTGGTCAGCATACCACACTTGCTGTCAAGGGTACACTGGTTTAAGCTCCACTATATAGTTACTAGCTGGAGTCTTCAGAGTTGATTTCCTTAACCACCCTTGTTGTGCCTCCTACACAGCACCAGTCACAACTATTAATTTCTTTTCCTCCCACTAGTGAGTTCTTAATGCTCACTTGCCTTTGAGTTGTAATTAAGAAATGGTGAACGTGTAATGATTGAGTTATGGATGTATGCATCACTAAGCATGAAAGAAGCATGAGAGTTGCTCAAGATGTGATAAGAGATACTCTAGCTTCTTGAGTTATATGCGAGTTTGCCATATGTAAGTCAAATTTGTTTATTAGGCTCAACCCTGGTCCAAGGATTCTTCTTTAGTTTCATCTTCAGGTTTCCATCCACAAAAACAAACATTTGTAAATTCCAATGTGATAATGGCTATGTTATCTTGAAGGAAAGTCAGTTTGTGGATGTGTTAGCACTAAAATTAATTATCTTTATCATTTTCATACTTTTGATTTCAAAAGCACTACATGTAAATGTATATCCTGAATTCACAAAATAAAAAGAATGAATTCACAAATAATTCTCAGCAGTCAAATTTTACAAAACAGGCACAGATGTTGCTGCTATTTTCTGGGAAGACATGTCAGTCCTTAGACTTTTTAGATGGTTTTATATCAGTTGATTAGCAGTGAATTTAGCTTTTGTTAGCCCAATTTTTTCCCCCTACCCTCCACCTCCCGTGAATATTACTCCCACTTATCTTTTTACATGTATGTTTTATTTTACATTCAGGCAGTATTTACGATGATTATCAACCAGTTGAAAGGTCTCGAGAACACCAAATCAAACCTGTCTAAGAAGTATTTTTATCTTTTAGAGGTAGGCAGAGGTTTTACTTAGTATGATAAATTATTTGCCTGGCAGGCTAGGAATTAAAACAAAAGTTCAAAAAGAAAAGAAGGCACTTTATACCTTGGGCAGGCATGCATAACAGAATTCGGTTCTTTTAGAGGGATGGTTGGTTTTCAAAGGATTGACTTGCTTTATAGCTCTCAAACCAGGAACTGTTGGAGGGAAGAGCCCTTTTTCTGTTTTTGTTTTTCCTTTTTGCAGAAATTTTTAAAGAGTATCAAAAGATAGTTTGTCATTTTGAACAAACTGTTTCGACTAATTTTGAAACAAGTTTATGACTGTCAGCTACAAATAATGTAGTTAAAACAACTGCAGTGTTCTAAAGGTCTGTTTTTATTTCTTTCAGAATTTAGCATTAGTTAAATCATTTAATATTTGTCTGGAGCTGGATTTCCAAGATATTATATTAAAGTTATTTAAACTGCTCTTCCAAGTCGTGAAGTAAGTTGAATTTTACTGTATTAAGTGAAATTTAAGTGTATCATGTAAATGTTATTCTCTGCTACTAAAAAACCTCATAACCAGCTTTCATAGGATATGTTAGACAGTGCTAACCTGATAAGGGATAAAATGATAATATTATCATAGTTTATGGAATTGAGTAGAGTGACAGAATGTATCAAAATCATACCTCATTATCACCTCAAAAACTCTGTCTCCTTGTTCTCAATTTTAGTGAAAATCATACCAATAAAATTCAGAATTTCATGCTTGATGTGATGTGTCCCATCATACAAGAAGGAGAATCTGCATCTCAGGAACTTCTGGATACAATCCTGATCAACATCATTGAGCCACAGAAGGTACCTACTTACTAAGCTGATAACTTGAAATGCATAACTATAAAGATGATGTCGGTAAATGTAATTTAAGCAAAGTTAACCTTGAAATCAATAATTATTATAGCTAGTGATTTCCCTTCTTCCTGCTGCATGGGGTGGCTTTTGGTCCTTAGCAGGGATACCTTGTGACCCTTGTGAGATCATCGGTGACTATCAAAATAAAATTTCATTATGTGCTGTGTAAACAACTGCATCATTAAAATGGAGGTTAGGTGCCTGGAGTATCCAGGGGCTTCCACTGTTGGCAGCCGGCCCCTAGGTTGAAATAATGCCCCCATGACTGGCACAACAGCGCAACCCACAGCCATGAGCCCCCACACAAAAGGAAAGGGACAGGCACCTGTCACACTGGAAAACACCAGTGGAGAAAAAAGGAACACCACCAACAACAACAAAGCCTAGAGGAGGGGGCAGAGAAAATCGGAGAAAGAACCTCATGGGCTGAAAAAACCTAGCACGACAGAAAACTGAATGCGCCAATGAATCACATGATTGATCTAGCGAGCTACTGGGCATGCGCATGCCAGAAGACCACTGACCTCACGCACTAAAAGGCGTTCTTAGTTATTAATTCCTTTAAATTGTATTTAAATGCATTAATGAACAATCTCTTCATTTAGTGATTAAAATAATATGAAAGCAGATTTTGGCAATGGTTTCATGTTAAGTTGCACACCAAGGCACCCTTATGTCTAAACAATCCTTGAAAAGTGCTTGAATGTTGACTGCCTTTTTCTGTACAAGTTGAGGCGTGTGTGGCCAAGTGGTTAATACCCTGGATCTGGAGGTCCATGGTTCAAGCCTCGCCCATCGCGTCGTTTCCTTAGACAAGTAACTTTACTCCACGTTGTCTCTCTTCACCCAGGTGTATAAATGGGTACCAGCAATATACTGTTGGGGGGTAACCTTGCAATGGACTCGCATCCCGTCCCAGGGGGGAGTAGCAATACTCCTAGGCATACTTGATGTTAAGGAAACCGGGATAAGCTCCGGCCATTTGGGCCTTTGGCTCGTGTGCGCCTTTTCCTTTTTTTTCTGTACAAACCATGTATTTAGAGGCTGTTGTAGGGAAATTTAAAAAGTGATTGTATGGATAAAGAAGGGGCTTGTTGTTGTTGTTGGTAGGTGGCCATTTTGTTTCAGTGGTTAATGGAGTTTTTTTTTCATCTTTCAAGAATTTTTTATAAGATCATTCTTAACATCATTTTGTTGTTTGTTTTCTCCAGAGTGAAAATCCCGTAGCCTATAAACTGGCAGGTGAATTCATCAGAAGGACTGCAACCTCTTTAGAGCCTTATTTACAAATGGTAATCGAAGAAAATTGGGGCTTCAGAGTGGAAAGGAAGTCAGTTTGCCATTTGGGCAAGTCACAGCTAGCATGTACTAGTCCAAGAGTCATTTTAATTAACCCCAATTTTTTTTTATGAGCAGGATTGATTACAGTTCTTCTGTAATGTGAATTTCCTAAAAAATTCATTTGCCATCAGGCAAATTAAGAACATAATTCACTAGCCTCATGGCAAAATCCGCTAAGTCCCGGGCTATATTCTATCAGACATGACTTTCTTTGCACACTGGGCTAAATTTTTGTATGGTTTGCAAGTGTGGGGCATTTGAAATTAAAGAGTTGACAGACAAAATTAATTGTGTGTTCTTTTAGTTTTTTAACAGTACCCTTGCCTTGGGGAAGACATCAGACAGCAACCTAACAGAGAACATTTATGATCTTATTCTGGAATTGAACAGAGTTTGTCCTAGTACTCTCTTGTCGGTTGTTCCACAGCTGGAGTTTAAATTAAAGGTGATTTTTGGGCATTTTTCCATCTCTCAGAACTCTAACTGTTTTGGTTGCTATGGGCCAATCTGCACTAGCAGACAATGGAATTGTCTATGAAACATCTTAACCAAACATTGTATGGTGACAATTTTTTTTTTTAATTTATCTGCCATGGAAACTACTCTTAATAGGCCAGCGCATCTGTCATTACTTAATGGAAAGAATAATGGTTTTTGCCCCCTTTGGACAAGCACGTGTTCAAAAGGATTAATTGCGCAACACGCACCCTTTAGTATGAGGTGATAAGAGTTTCGTGTTTCATTTCGAGTCAGTTTTTGCCTCGAGCGTATACCAGAGTTTTGCACCATACTGTTTCATGTCGTCTTTCATTTCATCCCAATGGGTCGTCCAAGCAGGTGTCCAGGTTGTAAGGAGTTAAAGTGCATCGGTGCAGCTCTTATCCACTGAATTGAAATCTCTTCGACCAGAGACTACCGAGTTGCGTGCATTAGTGCGTCCTCCCACTTTACGACAACAGAAAGTAGCAACAGTACTGCCCCTTGTTACATTGCCAGAACTGCGTGCTATGACCGATTTGGCCCAGACGGTGGATCGACAGGTAGACCAACTTGGCGTTGTCTGTTCTGATGATAGCGAGTCGGAGAATGAGAGTGACTCTCTTCAGCACTCAGCAGCTACCTCTGCACCCTCCGCGCGTCCATCGCATCTGTCATTACTTTATGGAAAGAATAATGGTTTTACAACAAATGATTGACAAGAAAAACACATTTTCATTTGTTTAATTGATTTTGTCCACTTTTTAACCTGGACAAAACAATTTTGTCCAGGGCACCTTTGAAGATTGTCCCATCTCGTACAAAATTTGTAAAGTTGCAACAAATTAAACCATACGCATTTCTTAAGCATTGGTGATGACAGAAAATTTGTTGAAATAAACACTTTTTTTGCTAGAGCAGATAGGCCCTATGGCAGGTATAAAGGTTTCTAACCTCTTCTCTTTTTTTTNAATAATGGTTTTACAACAAATGATTGACAAGAAAAACACATTTTCATTTGTTTAATTGATTTTGTCCACTTTTTAACCTGGACAAAACAATTTTGTCCAGGGCACCTTTGAAGATTGTCCCATCTCGTACAAAATTTGTAAAGTTGCAACAAATTAAACCATACGCATTTCTTAAGCATTGGTGATGACAGAAAATTTGTTGAAATAAACACTTTTTTTGCTAGAGCAGATAGGCCCTATGGCAGGTATAAAGGTTTCTAACCTCTTCTCTTTTTTTTTAAGAGTGAGGATGTAGATGACCGATTAAAAGTGGTCAGCTTATTAGGTCAGATGTTTTCTGAACATGATTCGGAACTTGCTGTTCAGAACAAGGCTCTCTGGAGTTCTTATTTAGGAAGGTAAGCAATTTATTAATTTATTACTACTAACAGAGTGTGTTGTGTTCAATATTAACTTTATCATTTGATGCAAAGGAGAACCCACTAAGTGACCTGCAAATAACTGCCTACAAATAATGGTCTGCCCATGTGCATTGTCATCCACCTGTGTTTAGCTATAATTGAACTAGGTTATCTCAAAATATCATAATTTGTCAGTGTCTTGCATATCAATAAATCCTCGGCCTTTGGCTTTGGCAGATAATTGATCCGATGGCCACAGACAAATCATGATATTTTTCCTCAACCTGCTCTCATGATTGTTAAGTGGTTCAAGCTGTTTAACAGGGTTAACTCAGAGCACTAAGGTTCTCTGTCCATTGGAAGCAAACAAGATAAAGTATCTATTGCAGCTAAAATTTGTCATCAGGTTAAACCAGAATTTCCTTTGTCTCCCATGGATGATAATTACATGTATCCATAATAGATTATTACGGCTCGGAAACAAAGGTCTGGAATTTTTTGGTAAAACATGAGAATGTAATTTACCAAAAATACATCCACCAGAACTCCATGGGCTCTTGGATTTGATCAACTGTGTTTGCTGTTGATATAGTAAACTTTGCCCACTGTTCTGTTTTTTTTTCTTTCTTTTTTTTTGAGATGGTGGCCAATGCAAAGGCAGATACATGTGCACTAGCTGTTGCTTAGAATGTACACCTTTCAGTTTCTGACACATTTGTTCCTTGATAGGTTTGTGGATATTAATGTAGATGTTCGTGTTGAGTGTGTGAAGAGAGCTAAAGAATTTCTCAAGTTTCACCCCGACCTGGTGACAGATGTTACAGGTGATTTTTTTTTGGTTGATTTGTTATTTGCTAAATACAATTGTGCACAATACAATGAAACTACATTAACCAGGGCTTTTAAACAGACTAAACAATAAATTACAGATTACCGAAAGTGAATTCCAACAAAAGTTGATGGAACCAGTTAGCATCTTGCAGTATTCTTACAGTGATTTTGTTACAAATAGTTAAGGTGAGTCCCGGGACTTCTTGTGAAAAATCATGAGTCCATCCATAACTTATGAGTCCCAGTTGAAAAAAAACAAAAACAAAAACAAAAAAAACAGGAGTCCTAAATTGAAAATGCTTGGGCTTTTACGTAACCAGACAGTCAATTTGAAGACAGATGCTAGAACTCTTCATCACAGTTTTAAAAAAATGAAAAATGATTTATAGTCTTCTATACATTTAAAGCACAAAAAAGACTAAAATAAATATGCATCTTTAAACAATAGCCACAGAAATCACACGAATAGGGTATTCTACCAAAAAATCTTCAAATCAATCAATCGTTCTTTGGGCATTTTTATGCATCGGGGACACAGGAGGAAAAAGTAGCAAAATCACTGTTGTCATTGGATCATAGATGACTTTGGTTAGCTTTAACTGTATACTTCTTTAATTTGATTGGTTACCATCACTTTGGGCCAAGTAACTATAGGTGCTGTTGAAAGCTTTATTAATTGTTGATTGTATTAATTTTTTAATTTTTTTGTGCATAGTTGCCTAATTCAGTATTGTACTTTATTAACAGCTGATTATGTACACAGCCCTTGCTTAGTTTTCATTTTTTTTCTTTTTTTTTTAATGTGTGCATACATGTGTATTTCTCTATTATTTTATTACAGTGTATATTATGTAAATATTTTTTTCTGCATGGCCAGCATGACTAGCATTTGCTATTTCTAAGTGGCTGTGCTCTCCTGTAATTTTTTCCTCTGTATGTCCCAAGAGCACTAATAAAGATTGTTTGATTGTTGTTGTTTTGCAGATAAACTGCATGAAAGACAAAGGGACCCAGATGAGAGAGTACGGCAAGAAGTAGTAGCAACCATCTGTGATGCAGCGGTTGAACAGATTGAACATATTGATGATAAGGTACTGCAAGTTTTATCACTCCAAGTGCATTGTCAGGGTTCGCAAATACGCTAAATTTGGTGCATTTTACTCCAAAATTGTTCAGATGACATCCATGAGGTTACGGAGAGAGTCACTTCGACTCCAGAAATTTTCAGTAACAAACAGGGAGCCACTTCAACTCCAGAAATTTTCTGTAACAAACACAGTTTTGTCCTGGCTTACCTTTTTCGCAACAAATACAATTTACGTTAATTGCAAACGTTGTAAACCTTAATTAAATCATTGAAATTCAAGAATTATACTGCACGACAAAACAGGAAGAGGGTAAATTACGATCAAACTTTGCTCGATGACCGACATCATGGATTTGAGCTTTCCAGGTCAGCGGACCACCACAGCTAAATCGTGTATCCCTCACGATAGTGTATACATACCAGGACCACGTGCTGGAAAGTCTGAAAATGGCTTTTTTCGTTGTGATACTTGACTCCAAATATTCCAAAATGACTCCAAAATTAGGAAGCAGAAGTCAAACTGACTACACTCATCAATAAAATTTGCAAACCCTGATTGTACTGCACCTGGTTGTGTTTTGAATGTATTGGCTGGTTTGCTTCCTGCTTCCAGATGGTGGCCGGACATCTTGCCTGGCCAAAGAAATTTTAGCTTGGTCAAGTCTTGTTTCTGACTGGTCAAAATATTGGGAAAAAAGTTAACTTATCGTTTTGTAATTTTTACTTTGTGAACACAATTGTGTTTTTTCAAAGAAACAAAATTTAAGATTTACCGGAGAGGATTTGGCTGTTTTTTCATGAACGAGAGTGCATGCATGACCAGTCAATGTGGCTGGCGACTGAAGTTTTTGGCTAGGCAAGTTACAGTGCTGGCCAGATATTGTCCTTTGACCGGCGGTTATTTTGAGCCCCGCATTTAATCTGAGGGATGTCATGTGATGGCTCAATAAACAAAGTATGCTTGATCTGGCCTTATATTCTAATGTAAAGAAAGAAGAAAAGATGTTGCTACAAATGCAGTCAAGTTATAATTAGGATTTTGTGTTACTTGTGTCCTTTTAAGTTTTAATGTGGACCCTAGATCAAGAAGCCCCTGGCTCAAAAGTTCTTGAGTACCATTCAGCTGTAAAGAGTACAGTGTATTTTCTGGAACTAGCAGTCATCTCCAAGATATTAAGGACACTATACCCGTGCCTTGAAAATCCTGCAAACCTTCAATAAGTTTACCTTGTGTCAGTCATCACAAAAATGACAAAACACAGAAGCTCAGAGTTTATAAACATGTCAGTAGCTTTGCTATAATTATGCTAGGCCAACCCCAAAAGGACACAAAGACTGTTAGCCTCCACCTTTCTTTCTCTTCGTCTTTACCATTTATCAAGGAATTTCAAGGGGGCCTGACTACTTGTAGGGAATATTGACATATACACAAATGTCTGGCTCTGACTGAATTTTTCTTCACTCCCTTGTGTTAGCTTTTTGATGCTGTATGTGAAAGAGCTAGAGACAAGAAGGTAAGAATAATAATTTTTTTTTAAATTATGAAAAGTGTATTCAGTCCACAGAGCTTGAAAAAGTCCCGTTCGGTAGTACAAAACAAGTCCATTTTCTTGCTGGGCAAGTAACTTTTAAAGCTGACTTGCCCATTGGGCATTTGGGGCCCAGACCAGTTGTCCTCTAACAAAACCATTATCTAAGACCAGCAAGAAGTGGACCTGGCAAGCAAAATGTGAGAGCTGATTGCATGTGGCTAAATGAAATTTAGGCAAAGTTAAAATGTAAACAATGCTGGTCATCAGTTTCTTAGTTGCCTGGCTTGGGGTGGCCCCAGACATTTAGCAGGGGCACTTCGTGATTCATATGCAGTCTGCTTGTTTGCAGTTACTTATAAAGTCATATTTATCTCGCCCCCCGTTGCCTTGCCAAATTTTTTCTGCCTGCTTCACCCTCCTGATAGTTCCTTCTACCTATTTGAGTATTGGTTGTAAGTATTCCACTGAGTGATTCAGGGTGATGGTGCCTGGTGGTGGCCACTTGCGGGATTGCCATGGATACCTCCTTTTTCTTGCTACAACTTTGCCCAGCTCCACCAATCCTTAAGGGACCAGCTTCTAAGCTCATCTATTGATGATGAGTTTAACCAAAGGACAAGCTGGAATTTCCAAGCCCTGAGTCCTACCAGTTGCATGAAGTGTTCCTGCTGTCTATACTATTGATAACTTGTGTATGAGTTTGTTTTTCTTTAGTACTGTGCATCTAATCTGTGTTTCTGCTGGTTTTGTTTCTTCAGTGGCATGTCAGTAGAGAAGCAATGATGTGTCTTGGAAAGTTATATAAGAAATTGACTACAGGGTCAGTATTTCGTTATGTCAATTTTTTGTGATAGATAGGAACTAACAAACCAAAAGCTACATTCTCTCCATAAGTATCACAGGAAATAACATTATGAAGAATAACGTGACATCAGTGTATTTGGGCGTAAAGGGTTGGCATTATTATTTATAGTCGCATTTGTCACATACCCTTTTTAATCTGTTTCGGTTGTAGAACTACTGCAGACAAAACAGCTGCCAAGAGGTTATTATGGGTTCCAAGTAAAATTCTCCACCGTTACTACCATAATACTCCAGAAAACAGGTACTGTTAAGGAAATTGTGTTAATGATTATAAGGAGTCAGTTTTACATGAAAACAGAATTGCCAAATGTTAGTAAAAATGAGCCACAAAACTTTGGTTCTCTTTCCATGTTGTAAAGCTTTTAGACTGGCGTACTTGTCTTCTGAGTCTGGAAAAGCTTAAAATACAAATGTGCTTGGTTTGCCTAAAATCTTTCATGTTGTTGTACATTACATCATCGTGGGTGCTCTTTTAGCAAAAGTAATGATGGGGCGGCTGTACAGTAATATAATATATCAGAGTGAATGTTGTGCTTAGTATATTAAGTGATTAAAATGTGAACTTTAACAAGAACTGTATCATCATGCTTTCATCAACTGAAGTGCAACAATGTATTAGACTAATCTACAATTTGGTTAACTGAGATCATCTTCATTACTGAGACAGTCATGTTATAACAGACACTTGTGAAATGGGATTTGTTTGGGGGTGGTGTAACTTGGATGCTTTTTATCCGTATTGCTTTTTGTTTACAGGGCTTGAAATTGTGACTGACTGGTCACTTACTCAACTAAAAGTTTAGTGTTGGTGACAACATTTTTTTTAGAATTTCAAAGCCAGTTGCTAGTGGGCAACTTGCTTTTCATTTCTTTTAATTTTTGGTTATGGAAGAGTTGATCTTACTGTTAAAAATGTGAAACATACTGTTCAATCCCTATGTTGCAGCTCTTCAATGACCAAAATGCTAAAATTAATAAGAAGTTTATTTTTATGTTCTTATTTATAACGTGTAGAACATTCTTACAAAGCTTTTGTATTGCTTGTTAAAGGCTCTGCGTGGAGAGAATTTTAATTGGCTGCTTAGTGCCAGTCACTCTAGAAGCTGACGAGAAAATGAAGAAATTGTTACATATTTATTGCAAGCTTGACCCTCAGGCAGCTAGGTAAGTGTACATGTTAAATAACTGATATACCTTTTCTTTCTTTTAGGGAGGTAACTCTTCCAGAATTTTGAGGTCAGACCAGAAGTATGTCGGACCCACCAGATACCATTCACCCCCTATTCATCACCTGTTAATTAAGTCAATACTAGTAACAACCAATGGGTATGGAATGCGGTGACAACGATCAAAGCAAAACTCTTTTGCTCCAATGCTATGCTTTGCATAATCAGATTACGAGTGATAAAAGGTCCAAATGCGTGTGATCAAATTGCATTTTGTGCATTTCAGTTATTCCAAACGAATGCTTGCTAAATACATGTGATGCATGGGTAATAACAACCTGGAGATTAGGATTGCGGGCTCTTCTTGTCGTCCGCAATGAGTATTGAGAAAGATGTTAAGTGCCATTTTGGGAGTTTTGTTTCAAAGCCTAGTGGTAACATTTTGTATGTTATGTTTGATAAAATTATATTTTATCACTTAACTTTTTTGTGCAATTAAGCATATCCTAATATTTTTCTATTATTTTTATTCTTTCTCTTCCTTAGTGCTTTCCATGGAATACTCAATTGTCAGCAAAGGTGAGGAAAAGTTATTTACATCACAGTGCACTTGCTGTCTTTTTTTTCATGTAAATAAAGCAGGGACTTCTCATGGCTGTGATGAATGTGATTCCTGGCTACTTTCACAAGAAAATAGAGGAAAAGTAGAACCAAAAGAAGTCCCTCGCTGTTTGCTTCCCTGCCTACTTGTAGTATTTATCTGGTAACTTGACATCTTGGTGACAGCCCTGATTAAATCTAACATGCAAAGATGGTTGTGATGACCACATATTTCTCATCAGGCCCTTACTAATTCATTGTTTACGTTCTTTCAGAGTACGAACAGACATTGCTGATCTTATAGAGCTGTCTACAAAAGAACAGGTACAATTTTTGAAAGGCTACTTGTTTGAATAGCTACATGTCTTCATGTTTGGCTGTGAAATACTTGATACCTCTGGGCATTTTCCCCTGTCTATTGTAAAAAACCATGTGTAATATTTACCATTAGGAATCAACACCAGTGGTGTGGACCAGGAATGAATCCCAGAAACAGCACCATTCTCCATAAATGAGTTTAGTTTGTTGTTGGCTCTCTCTCCCAATTCTCAAGTTTTCCCCACTCCTCAAAAACCAACATTGCTGAATTCCCATTTTATCAGGAATGGTAAAAATAAATCAGTTGACGCATGTGCTACCTCTAAACCATTATTTATTGTATTTAAAGTTCATTTATATCTACCAAACAGAAACCCTTTCAGCCATTGTTCAGTTCCATCCATTAATGGAAGTGGGAACTGACCTCTGCCAATTTTGTCCTTTAAATAGTAATATTCAGCTCAATGTTTGAAATGTTGCTGACTTTGATTTTTTTTTTTCGCTGCAGTCAGAGGACAATGAGGCTCTTATTTTCTCAAAGATAATTTCCCTTGCAAGTATGTTATCTTGCATATCATACATATCACTGCTCAGTCTTAAAAAAAAACATTTCCTCATATGTAAAATTGGCCTATGGGCCATTTACCATCCTCTCCTGAGGATACATAATGACTTTCTGTTACTCAACCTGGCACTTCACATCGCTGATGAAGTTTGAGTGATGCGGGTGAAACATTCATTTTTGTCTCAAATTTTGATCTGAGTCTTAGAATTTGCTATACTGAAATTTCTTTGCCGTAGCTGGTGAAAAACCTTTTTGTAGTACTTGTATATGCATGTATGTTAGACTTGGAATAGAACACAAATGGCATTATTATTCCATCCAGTAGATATTAAATGTCCTTTCATCCTTACCAATTGCTTCAGCAAGATTAGTAGTAGCCAGGCTTGTTATAATTATTTTTGGAAATTGATTCAATAGTACTTCAATAGTTTAGTTAACAGATCGGAAAAAGAGACTTAAATTAGGTAAATATTAATTAACATGACAAGTTTCGCAAGAGGCTATCTAATGTAAAACCAAACAGGATTGTTTTCCATACACACGTACACAGTTTGTGATTAATTGGCTACTTCCAGGGCTGTCATTAATTTTTAGAACAGCCATATCAAATAAAGATTCACTTGTAACATCTCTCCAAAACTTTATAGTGTCACCTTTAGCTTCCCACCACTTGGGGCTGATTTGCGATATTATTTAGCAAGCTTCTTTGTTTGGAATGTGGGACTTTGATTTTTGGATCACTTGAGAAACATAACATGTACATTTTGGCAAATTATTTTGGCAGAGTAGGCTACTTTTAGCCCCTGATGTTAATTTATTTCTTTTATTTTTAGATTTTTATTCCTGCTGATCCCTAAATTATTTTATTCTAGCAATAACAATAATGCAAAGAAAAAGAGAACAAAAACTTAATGTGATATTTATGTCTCTTTTGATTTTAGGAGCTTTTCCTGATGCCTTTAAGTTTCAAGAAAACCTAAAGAAACTGCGGGAAATGCTTCAGGAGCCAACTCTGAGAGAGTTGTTCAAGAAAAGCATCGATCCTGATGTAGGATGTTCGACAGTTTTCAAGGCAGTGGTAAGTACTTGTCCAATGCCTTTAACTCCTATCCTAGAGACAATCACAATCTTCCTGCACATTTGCTGAGGAAGTAATTGTTCCTTTTTCAGAGTGATGTTGTTTTAAAGGTGGGATCTAAGAATCCTGTCCTAGAGACAATCAAAGCTCTTCTGGACAGAGCAGCACCTCTACTAGTGGATGAACAGTGCATCAAGAACATGTTCAAGCTGGTAAAGGATGCTGTGGAAGGGCTGTCTGATTATGAAGATGATGAGTATGAATGGCATGAGAGTTCGGGATCACGTCCTGTTGGGAAAAAGGGCCTGGATTTGTTATTGGTGAGTCTAAATTCCTGTAATTGAAATACTAGGGACCTGTTGTGTCTGAGTTAGATATGTCCTGGATGAAATGCTAATAAGATGCACATTGGTTATGATACCATACGATGAACATGTATGATAGGATTGATGTTTGATGCATTGTGATGTAATATGCGATGTGATGTATTATGATATTATTCAGTATGTTACTGTTCATATCTGGCCAGAAGTATATCTGTGATAAAATCCTAGATAATTTACTTCCTTGAAGCCATCATGAAGTGTGCTTGTGAATAAAAGTTCTCCAAAACAAAATGATTCCAGTAAAATAAGAAGATTCAAGAAATTAATATGAAAATGGCAAGCAATAAGTAGTAAATTATTGTGTATCATACGTGCCCTTTAGTAGCGAGATTTTCGTATGACCTCAAAAAGTGGTTTCGGTAAGTGTTTGTTATTTGTTTCATCAGCTGGTAGATGAAGAGATCAAATTATGGCCTCTTCGCTTTCCCACCAAAGAAAACCCTAATATGGAGAAGACATCATCATGTTGCAGTATGACGTCAAATTGATTTCAATTGATTTCTAGAAAGTTCTCGGACATGAAGTTTTTTCACCTGAGTGTTCGATAAACCAATCAAATCTCTCTATTTCCGTTCGTTTGTTGTTTCTGTTTTGTTCACGCTTTTTCATTTCAAGGTCATATGAAAATCACTTAATAATTATTGATTTTTTTTGTTAGGCACTGGCCGGTGTGTTTCCCTCTCAGTTTCAAAATGATGATATTTTTCAACAACTATTGGTTTTTCTGAAAAACAAAGATCAAGAAATAGGTAAGACACTCAGGTCTCAAACAGCAGACTTGTGCAATCTATCTAGGGTGTTGATGTCCTCCAAAAGATTTTCATCTGAGATTGTGTATACCTTTTCCTGCTTCTGCAGGATCTATGCAAGGAACTTTTGACATGAATCAACATATCTTCAGAAAGTTTCCCTGGCCCTTTCTAGTACAAAATATATTACTTTAATGAAATCCTTACTTTGTCACTGATTTGTTTTAAACTCAAAGGAAACCCAAACCAAAATAAACCCAAAATATTACATTTTCTTAGTCGGCTCCAAACATGACTGGGATTTTGCAAGAGAATGGAGTAGGAAAGATGGTGTTGGGTTCTTTTTATGCTCTGCTTCTCATTTTCTTTCTTCTCTTTCGTTAGTCTTCAACCATATTATGATTTTTATGTCATTTACTTATAAACTGTAAACTTTCCTAAAGTGAGCCTTAATCTTTATTTCAATTTTTGCACACACTGTCCCACCTCGAATAGCCTTGCTAGCTGCAGGCAGTGCTTTTGTCATATTATTTTGGTTACATGTGAGGTCTCTAACTTCTGCCTCTCATTTCGAAATGCTCTTCCCTACCGTACTGGAACAGGCTTTTGGCAATAGCAGTGTCTGGCATAAAGTGTTTTACTAGATCTCTTCCTTTTGATAGCTTGGTAAATTGGATTCAAAATTAAAATTGCTGAATTAACCAATAAACGTTATATTCTATTTTATATTTGCAGTTGATCAGGCACTTAAGATGCTTGCCTTGACTGGTGATGGCATTGAAAAAGTGAATAAATCACTAGCAAAGTAAGTTCTTTTATAAGCAGGGCTCGCACAGGGTCTTGAATTCTTGTAANGGTAAATTGGATTCAAAATTAAAATTGCTGAATTAACCAATAAACGTTATATTCTATGTTATATTTGCAGTTGATCAGGCACTTAAGATGCTTGCCTTGACTGGTGATGGCATTGAAAAAGTGAATAAATCACTAGCAAAGTAAGTTCTTTTATAAGCAGGGCTCGCACAGGGTCTTGAATTCTTGTAATAGTCTTGAAATGTGCGTAGCAATTTTCCAGACCTGGAAAAAGTCTGGAAAATAGAGACAAAGTCTGAAAAAATGGTAAAAAGTCTTGATTAATTTTTCAAAGCTAACAAGTGCTTAATATAAGTGAAAACTTTTTTGTTTTGGTCAAATCTTGTCCAATCTTAGCGTTATGTTTGCAGCGCACCGTGAAAAAATCTTTGTTCCTGCATTTTTAAGTTCTCTAATGATCACCTATTTGATAACCTTGGGTCTGGGAAAAGAAATTATTGTTTTGGAAAAAGTCTGGAAAAAGTCATTGATTTTGGATCGAGAAATCTGTACAAACCCTGTATAAGTGAAGTAAAAACTGAGTCAAATGTTCTTGTTACGCATCTGTTCTGATTGTTTAAAGGGCAATAAATAATAATTATTTTACTGCAAGTTATTGGTAGGAATCAGCTGAGATTTCTTAATTGGAATTGGATTGACCCGACCAATTGATCATCGATTATCTTTCGTAAAAATCTCTTTATACAAGTACCATTTTTTTCCACCTGCATGCAGGTCAAGGTTACAAGGTTTTTTTTACCGTGGACCACTTCTAAATTAAACATGGCCACTGTTCTGTCTTTTATAAAGTGACCAAAACGCACAAAATGTAAATATGTACCTGATTGAACATTTTCCAAAAGTGATCAATTTTTCTCTTTGATGATTGGCACATCACTACTGCAGGTATGCTCATAGGAACGTTAAAATCCAAAACTGTCCCTAATGTATGAAGATTAATGTCATACTGCTCTCTCTTCTACATTAGTTATTACCACCCAGTATTGTCAAAACTAGCACTGAAAGGAACGCCCTGCCAAGCCAAGCACTCTCTGAGATCTATTGCAAAGATGGCTGCTTCTACCTCCCAGCCTTTTGATCGTATTTTTACAGTAAGTAGTACGATGTTGATGCATGACTGGTAACAGTAATAAGCTGTTCATCTCTGCTTTTGCTCTGACTCTTTCTCCGGATAGTTTGTGGGAAATATTAGTTGGCCTTTTCTTTCCCAGTAGAAACCAGAGTCAAAATTTGATCAAAGTCCCAAATTTCATTTTGTAAAGTACTAAAAAACAAATAGTCAGTAGAACCTCTATACATGGGACACCCTCATGCTCTAGGAAAGTGTCCCATGAATAGAGGTTGGGCTTGGGTTTGTCAATAAATAGCCAATTTTTTTTTTCTTCTATTTTGCCTCGGAATCTGCTGCAGTCATGATCTCAAGCAGCTAGACAATGTAGAAAAAATCTTGATTAACTCATCTATGCGGTATTGTGTGTTGAAATCCCACAAGTGCAGTGCATTGATGTAAGTGAGATAGCTCATTGTATTGAAATCTGTGATTGTTGTGATTAGTATACGCTTAAAGTTATCAACCCTCCTTGTGGTCACGTCTCGAGAGCTAAGGTGTGCCCTAAATGAAGCTTAAATTTGGGGTTTTGGGACTCAGATAATGTGTCCCTTTCCCCTGAAGAGAGGTGTCCCCTCAGTGGAGGTGACAGTGAACAGTTTTCCGGGGCCAAATTTTGTGCCCCTTAATAGATTTGTCCCATTGTAGAGGTTCCACTGTAGTATTTTGTGAAAGTATCGCCAAAGACCCCATTAATCTCTTTGGGAATGACAATTGTTAAGGGTTAGAGATTAATGTTAGTTTTTTACTGGTTGCTGAACGCACGCATTCTGTTAAATGAACAGGACATTTTTTTGCTACCAAAAATTATGCATACACTCTTATTATGTTAGCTAAGCAGGCTATGTTTGTATCGAAATGGTATGGCCTATTTTGTTTTCTCGTAGAACCTCGTGAGCTCCTTGACCTACGATTGTCCGCTTCTGCTGACAACATTGACAGCTCTCGGAGAGATTGCGTTATTGGCACCAACGCTGTTTGAAACCCAGCGGCCGGCCATTGTACGTGATTTTATAGTCAAGGAATTGCTGATGAAAGACAGGGTAAGTTCAAAACGCCCTGTCATTTGCATCGCTGTGAGATGTCTAAGACTGTGAAGAGGCTCTGGTAAGGGATGGGGCGAAAAAGTGCAAAAGCGCGAGAAGGTGAAGAACAGCTAAAGGCAAGAGAGGGAGGCGAATTTTCCCTCAACTTGTTTTGGTCACCTCTCTAGGCTGGTGATGTGAAGTCTAACTATAATCTCCCTGGTTTGCGCGTCACTAGGAGGCAACAATAAATGCTTTCCTTTTGGCGGTTAGTTTTCTAGCAATTCACCTCAAAATTGCTACACGTAGAGCTTTTATTGTACTACAGTTCTGTGAGACAAGTTTGTTCAGCATGACAGTCTTTATTCTCTAAGTGATAAATAAACATTTCTTTTAACGTCAGGGTGTGGCAGCTAACTCTGATGAAAGCGAGAGTTCTTGGTGTGATGACAGGGATGTTACGCATGAAACACAAGCCAAGGTGAGCAGAAAGCATACACCTGATATAGTCTTACGAGAAAAAATATCCTGTGATTCTTGGTAAGTCTCACGAGTAAAAAATTTCCCATGATTCTTGATTTGCAACCGCGTAACGAGGCGACCATGTTGGTTTAAAAAAACAAAACGTCAGCTGTAAACCAGCATCAATACTTTTGAAAACAGTCTACTTCAAAAATATCCTCTTGCTTGTCAAGGACTTCAAAAGAGGGTTTTCTCAGAGGAGAGGTACTTTGCAAAGATGCGCGAGAGAGACTTGCTAGGGTTACCATTGGATTATTAAATTAAACAAGGTTGTAAAAAGATGTTTTAGCAACCACTTTGGTAGCAGTGGCGAGACTTTGGTCATGAGGACATGCAACAAAGTAAAAAAATAGCGATAATTACTTTGTCAAACGCCATTTTCCTGGCGTTGCCTTTTTAACAGTCCATAAAAATTATTTTGACGTGATGCGTGTTTTCTTACAATTAATTGTCAGATCAAAGGGATACGCCTTCTTGTCAAGTGGTTAAGAGGCCAGGATAGGAACCATAAGACATATGTACAACCTGTTCTTAGATTACTTGATAGCATGCTAGCTCACAAAGGAGATTTACAACAACAAGGATGTGTGAGGTACTGTCGTATTGTTGATTCAAATTGTAAAATATTGTTACCTAGCAAGTCTGTGAAAGTTTATACCAAAGTATTAAATATTAGCAAGTCCACAGCGACAAACCGTTGAGTGGTGCCGGATCTCACAGTTGTAGACTGGATCAGTACAATAACAACTTGTAAAAGTGGGTTGAGTTTGGTGGTCCGGGTGAACTTGTATAACGTATAAAACGGCAAGCTGATCCTTACGACAAGGCTAGGAACAAGTGAACAAAAGAATAAAACAACTAAATATATTTATACACACTTGCCCAAGATTTTGGTTTGAAAGACAAACCTTCAGGGGCTAAAAGAAAAATGAAAAGGGTTTAAAAATTTAAAGTTAAAACAATAGATTGTGATTGTTTACACTGTTTATACTGCTCTTTCTCTCATGTACTAAGGTTAATGCCGATTAACTGTCAAGGCTTTCATTTGTTTTTTGTAGTTTTTTTGCATTTCTTTGCTCTGTGATTGGCTGAAAATTCTCATGCCTCTTTCTTGACCAATCAGAAGTAAAACCATATTAAAACCAGTCGTTACTTGGTTACACAAGTTTTCCCGCGCCTTCTTTAAGTTCCGATTGGTTAGTTGGAATGTGCGCGTCTATTTTGATTGGCCGGGATAATTAGGGATAGATGTTTGCTTTCTCTTAAGTACGACACCCAAACTCATTGTGCACTAATTCGTAATTCGTGCCGCGAAAATAAAGTAAATTTCTACTATGACGAATTGTAGGACTTATCTTTGGATGTTTTCTTTTTGGCTAGTGCTGCTGATTGTTCACGACTTCGCCTGGCTGCAGCGTGTGGTATTATTAAGATCGCTCAAGAAGCTCACTGTATTGAATATATAACTCTTGAAATCTTCCAACAACTTTCGCTCGTTATGCAGGTAATCGCTTACGAATTGTCCTTTTATACATCTCCCATAATACACCTTGTTTGAACCCTAGCGGCAGAGGTAGCCTTCATTCGTAAAATTCTTTTTTTTTGAGGTGTTTTAATTACTTTTCAGCCAATTGGTCGACAGGATGCTCGAAAATAATAGCCTTCATGAACGCCAAGCCCCTCCCCTAGCAAGAGAGTGCGCCTCTGGCGCATATTTTTGGCCTTACCGGTCAAGAATGGTCCCTTACGTGCTAAGCTAAAACTTAGGGAGAACACTGGGTCATTATTCTTGACAGTGTATATTTTACCTATGCAGGACCCTTGTTATGAAGTTCGGGACAAGTTTACCAAAAAGCTGCACAAAGCGGAAGATTTACTAAAACTTCCCCTAGAGTATTTGGGAATATTCGCCCTTGCAGCACCTGAACCTGTCAAGGAAAGAAGGAATGAGGTAAACTAAGGAGAATTTATATTAGCTTTATTTGCTCCCGCCACTTAATGAAAATGTCGGCTGTAGGATGGGCGCTCATTGGAAGGAAGGTGCTTATTAAGTTCTTCGGTTGGTAGCCAAGCTAGCCTGTTCCAGGCCTTCAGATCGTGGGGACAGCACAAAGAGAATTTCCATTTTACGGTTTACACACACAGTTATCAATAGAAACAATAGAAACAGGTTTTCCTTGTACCCTTACAATAGAAAAAGTGTTGGGAAGGGCAGGAGGGCACCTGTTTGATATTTTGGCGTAGGGGGTGGGCGCCTGTTCGGGAGAGATCGCTCATTAGAGCGTGGGCAAAGCGTTACAAAGCGAGGCGGTGTTATAAGTTTCATTTCATGATTTTATCGCCTTGTTATTTTACTAAATTTTAGACACGGTTCTTTAGTTTTAAAAAATATTTGTGTTTGTTTGTTGTGAATCATTTGATACAACGGTTAAACTTGTTCGTGGAAATACCCGATAAAAACAGGGCTTAATTGGTCGGGATAATCAAAAAGCTATGGTTAAGGCCCTGTGCAAAATAATGCGAGTTTTAAACAAAAGAGGCCTTATAAAACCGCGACGGCAGCGGGAACGTCTAAAACACAATAGGTTTTGTGAACAAAACAAATACTCCGCACGTTTATCAGGCTTTTTGTACATTTCTCTGCCGTCCCTGCACGATTACGTCAATAAATGACCAAATTTTGAGTTGAATTGAGAACGGGAGCGGCAAGGTATCTCTGAACTCGACCGCGGCCTCCTATCTTTCGCAGTTCCAACCTAACTTTACTGCTTTTAAGTAACTGGGCGAACTGGAATTAGGGCGAAAAATTCAAAGGACGCGAAGCGTATTTTTCAGCGACGTTTTTATTGGCGTGGCCGTTGTCGGATCGTAAGGTTTCTAAAAACGCATCAAGACGTCCGCGTCCACTTTAGTGTTTGCATCATTTTCCGCCGTCCACACTCAGCCGTTTCCGTTTATGTCCTTCCTAAACCCACTCTGCAGCCGCACCTTAGTCTTGTGGCTTGTTTTTGACAGAATTAAAACCGTATGTTTTGCCCCTTAGGTTAGACAAATGATCACAAAGAACGTCAAAACAAGAAGAGATTACTTAAAGCAACATTCATCAGCCCAAGGTAAGTGAGGCTCAAGCAAAGAAGTGAAGGATGCTTGACGGCCACACCTCTCTCAGCAAGTGTTAGTAACAGTGAACTCAAGGATTAACATTTCTTGGCAGAAAGAGGCTACTATAATGAACCAGTAAAAAAAAGTTCGAAGAATGTCTATATGACATTGGACAAAGATTGAGTAGTTCTTTGATGGCGGGAGTCATCGATAGGTCCGTGTGTATTTTGCAAATGTTCATACCCGCCGTATTTTATATAATTTCTCAATTTCTCTATAGGCCGGTGTAAAATGATACCTTAAAAGGATCGAAGCTTTTGCACGTTGTATTTATTCGACAAACGTTAACTCTTCCGCTATAGTACATGGTCAAGACTGTCAATCCCCATGATCGGAATCTGCCATTATCTTTTTTTTCTTCTTTTATTTGTAGTATGTTCACAGTCCATTTTGCCAGAGTATGCTTTGCCCTGTGTTATTCACATGTTGGCGCATCATCCTGACTTCAGACAAGACGATCATGAAACCCTTGTGCAATTCAAAGAGTAAGGAATTTTGTTAACGGAACCCCTTCAGTTCTAAGACGGCCACCTGGAGTTGCTCCTTGCCGTTCTTCACTCATTTAATTTCACTCTTTGTGAGGCTGAAACGTCTTTAAAACTCCATCCCAGGGCGCTTACCAAAATTCCGAACTATTTACCCGTTTTCTTATTGTTTGTGCTGCTTTGTTTTGCTTTATGCTATTTGTTCGTTTATTTGATTTTTCTATTTACATATTTAGTGTTGGAACTTCACATCGTATACCCTTTATTTTTAGGAAGTCTATAATTCACAAGCCCCCAGCTTCTATAAGAGACATCACTGTTTATAAACATTGTTTTTGTCATTCAAATTTGTTACGAGTGGAACAAAAGAATCTTTTGCAGAACCAATGCTCTTCTGGTTTGCAAATTAATTTTAGTAGGTGACGTCAGCGTGATTATCGCTATATGGCTTTTTTGCCATAGCCATTTCGAACATGTATAAATTAAGTAATTAAATTTAATATAATTATTGAAAATGTAGATACCCTGAAGGTAGCATTTTTTTATTTAGTTTACTGTAAAATGTATGAAATGAAAATGGAAAATGAAATGAACTAGCCAGCCGGACCGCTCATTTTTAGAAATACTTTTCTCCAAAAGTTTAAGCTAAAAATCCAATACTACTTAATTTTTTTTTTTTTGGTTTTTGCAATTTATTTGGTTGTTTTCCAAACTGTTCCAGCTACCTGTGGTTCTTCATGGAACCGATTTTAGCCAAAGCAGATAATTACAGCTTCCTGAAGAAGTTAGTAGAAAACGTCAAGCAAACAAAAGACGTCCAGGCTCCCGATGACCAGGAAGTGAACAAGGTAGATATAAGCCCACCATCCCCTCCCTCCACCTAACCCAGCCCGCTTAGTCTTACTTCAAAATGGAAATCCTGTCCCAAAGGGGTGATTCAGTTCAATTTTATTCTTAGTTGAAGCGTTATTTCTCTTTGTTTCGAACTCCGTATTACCCGTTTCAACAACCTCGTCTCCAAAGCCAGGGAAAAGCGCGCTTTGCCGTTTCAGTACTTAAAAACCAAACTAAAATTAAGATAGAAGCAATTACAATATTGAAAAATCACATGCACATCCAGAGGTCAAGCTGTTATTAAAATAAAAGGCGAAACGCTCTAAGGCCAAAAGAAAATACTCTTACTTCAGGGGCACCCAACGAGAATATAGTTCAAAACTACTTATACATAGCATTGTTAAACGTATTTTAGGATTTAAACGGTAGATATAGGCATATTTTTATCCCCTAAAAATTTTTCATCTGTTCGGATTTCCTAGCTGAAAGTCTAGTGATCCGAAAATTGTAGGGATCAAAACTTACCTTTAAGAAAATTCCAGCCAGAAAAAAGGCTCCCGAAAATTCTAGGTGACCTTTTTGGGGTAAAAATCTGTAAAAATAGGCAATTAGACCATTTTTTAGTTGTTCGAAAATCCTAGGAGCGGCAGGCAAGCAAGAAATTTTACAACAAATGTTTCGAAAATTCGAGATCTCAAATCGTCTTCCGAACAGATATTTTCCGAAAATTGTCGTTGGGTGCCCCTGTTACTTCAAAAAAGCAATTAAATTACTGATAGTTTTATTATTTTCCTTTATAGAACCTTTACACCGTCTGTGACCTGGCCCTTGGACTCATATTAAACAAGGTAAATGTCTTTGTTATAAATGTCATACAATGAAAGCTTATCCCCTGTATCTAGCTTAAGAGCTTCCGTGTTAAAACTCATTTGTGGTTGTTGTCGTTATCATCCCTGTATTAAATCTGTATTGATCATGAAAACAAACGCAACTTTACGCAGGGAGAGGCTCATTTTACCATATAAAGTTGATTCATGATCACGCAGTAGCTATTGCGTTGAAAAGGAGGAGAGGCACTGCCTTAATGTGTTTAGTGACCTGCTCAGCAGAGTCTGAAGTATATACCCTCATTCAACACCTAGATCAAAAGTGGTGGCTAGTTGCTCAGGTGATGACGCGCTCACGCACGTCAGGGCCTCCAGATGTGATTGGTTTAAATTCCCGAAAATTTTAATTCGCTAGAGTAATTGCTCTGGCCAGTTTAGCCAATCAATTAATCTACGACAATCCGTTATGAGTTCTATTCAGTTGGTTTCCAGGTAATATAGATAGTAAGGAAAAATAAGGTTTACACTCGAATCCGAAGGTCTTGCTAATAAACCCCTCTTTTTCTGCAAAATACCATTGATTGATTTTCCTGTTGTTTCTCGTAGGTCCACTCATTCGTACTGAAAGATTTTCCTGGTAATGTAGTTTTACCAAAAAGATTCTTTGTCCCGTCCGACACGGTAAGAGTTTTTGTGAAATCTAGACTTGGCCACGTTCGTGTAATCTTTTTTTTTGGATGTAGCTATCACGGCTCTCGTGACTTTGCCTTGCGCTTCTCGCTTTTTACGCGCGCCTCTTAACTTACTTTGAAGAAATTGAAATAAGAAACTGTCCACAGTCTTTAAAACAAAATAATTATCAATTCTATGTTGCAGATGGGTACTCCCAACACTAAAAGTTATCTTCCAAAAGGGTTCGTTTTTGTGGCTTCCAAGGTAAGTTCCAATACAATGTGAGACTAAGTGCTGTTTAATACACGAATAGTCTAGCCCCTCAGTAGCGTTCTTCAGAAGCGCCGGCTTCTTTTAAAGAGGGATAATGTATCCTTCGTATTTAGTCCTCAACACTTTTGTTCGAAAATAAAATAAAATAAAGTAAAAAACATGATATAACATAAGCAAATGTGGGTAAATAAAGGTACCGTCCTCGTGGATAAAATTTGGAAGTTTACGCAACCACTACGACATCATTGAAAATGTTTATTGTTCTTTCAAACTTTACTCCAATTATTCCGTCTGGTTTAACTTGTCAGGTGTGGGCGAATTTCCTTGAAATGAATCTTAAGAGACCGCATTCAAGTAAAAAAGAATAGAGCAAGTTACCAACTTTGCCATTAAGAGATTTGTGGTCGTAGTCGCAGAAAGTAGACGTTCATTGAAGTTCTTTTTTTTCTGTTATCATGAACTTGTTTAGGGTCAGAAGAAAGGTGGAGTGGCTGAATCAAAATCAGCGTCTGGGAGGACAACATCAAAATCATCGGCCAAACGTAACAAGAAACCACAAGCGAAGTCTCAAAACAGGTATGGAGGAATTGGTGTATACAATGTGTTGTGTTAAAGCACTAATTTATATGAAGTTAAATGAAATTTAACGCAGTTAACAGCAAGGAGCGCCATCGCGTATTGTCGGTCAGCGGTCAGGTCAGTGGCTCAAGCGCGGTCAGCCTTGCTTGCATCAGCTCCATGTGCTTAGTACAAGTGCTAAGTTAACCCCAAAGCACAAAGCCTCGCGATTTCTCTCAAGATGGTCTTAGTTAAGCTGGACATGAAAAGCTTCTGTTTTATTCTGCCCTCGTCTAACTGTCGGCAATGAGCTAAGCTCTGTGGTTGTTGGTTTATATCAAGTTCTCGCCGGCTTGCTATTTTTCCTGAAACAACGGGCACAACTAGGTAAAAGTCCAAAACTTCAAAGGGGGTGGTTTCCCCAGCAAACCCCCGCATCCCTCTCGCTCTCCCCCCTCAATACATTAATGCTGCTACCTGCGAATCCCCTTTTCGTGTTGTACGAGTTATCCTGGGCACTACTAAACGAACTCAGTCATTGATTTTAGTCAATCAAGTCGAAGGTAATGAATAGTTGACGCGATGCTGTAAGTAACAGCTGCGTTCCTCGCGGGTCCAATGTGAGCTGCCTTCGTGTGTTTGCCAATTTACTTGTAGAAGTTCCAAGACGCCTAAGAATTCTTTCAAGGAGAAGGTGAAAGAGCTGCAGGCTGAGGTAGAGGAAGAAGAATCCACAGAAACCCCGGAGAGTGGCTTTGGTAGCCCTGCGGAAAAAGAGCAGTCTTCTCCGAGGTAGTAAAGCCACCTGCATTAGAGACCTTTAGATTCGAGGACGAGAATTAGCTCAAAGTTTTGTTGGTATAATGTTTCAAAAAAAAAACCGGAAAACTTCATTGTTCTTTTTTTCACATGAAAAGGTGGCACGATTATTTATGTTGGAGAAGGATAAGCCCTCTCCCGACTGCAAAATGATAAAACTTCTAACATTTGTCATTTCATCAATACGACGGCTTTCACGTTTTTTCGCTTGTTAGAGCACGTACTACTTACTAAGGTAGTATTGAGAATGGATTAGGGAGCTTAAACAACAACTGCAACGGAAGGGAAACGTCACCCAAAAAGTGAGTTTTCGCTGTTTGAAATTTCATCGCACTTATTCCAACTCTGTTAATTTGTCAAATGGTTGCGATGTTTCCATTAGTTCAACTCTGAAGGACTGTATTTAAGTTCACAAAAAGAAAAAACATCGTTGTCTTATGTTTATGTCCTCCATAGAACGTGAAACTAGGACTTTTCACTTCGAAGTCGTTCAGTGACAGCAAAGAAATGTACAAAAATGCGTGATGCAGGTGCAAAGTTTTTGTTTTGCCAATCTAGACTTAGCCGTCGCTCGTTCGTATGGTCGTCCTGGTTTTAGAATCTAAAGGTCTCTTATATTTTGTCTTCATGACTTGAAAGTCCGGCTGTCCTAGAGAAAATCGGTGATGTAACTACAAAATGGAAGGAGCCGAATCTAGGTCTGTCCTCGTTAGGGACCTATTTTCAACAGAGATAGACTGTGAAATTAAAGGTGATGTTACAAGAGACGATTCGCAACGACGACTTTAAGCGCAACGCAGCGTTGCAACGTTGTAGCTATATTGTTTCGAATTGTTACAACATTGTTCCAACATTGCAACCCTGTGTTGCGCTAGAAATCGTCGTTGCCAATCGTCCCGTGTATAATCACCTTAAAGAAGTTCCTCACAGCCATAAAGTCACAACTTATGCAATGGCGAAAAGAAAGCCTAAAGAAGTTTAAGCATACCGGGATTCGAACCCTGACCTCTGTGATATGGGTGCATCGCGCTAACCAATAGGCCACTTCTGAGTTCCAAAAACCCTCACTTCAAATTGAGGCTAGGTGCACAACTTTTCTTGTGAAAATGAGTTTTATTTGTATGAGAATGAAAAATGATTTCCATATCAAAGGCTGAGCACCTACCCTCGTTTTGAAACAGGGGCCCGGGGAAACTCGGAAATGGCCTACTGAGCTAGCAAGCCAACTTGGAACTGGTCATTAACTTGGTTCGTAACGTACCCGGGTTGGATGAAGATGAAATTATGAATACATGCATGCGGCATGAATTTCATATCTTTGAACCACGGAATGAGGAAATAAACTAAAGAAGATCGTTGTAGTTTAAGTGGCAACTAAGATTAGACTATGTACAACGTAGCTTTCATCAACGTGTCTGTCATCAACCTCAAAACTCAGTGGAACCTCTAGTTTGGAACAGTTCCTGTTAGGGAACACAAACCTTTCTCCCGAAAATACCTTCATCATTTTTATCTTTCTTTGGAACTGTCCCTACTGCTTCCGTCGGCTCGCCCTCAGTTTGTAATCGTTCTTCATCTATGTGCCAATGCCCCAAAACAGTTCGTAACCGTGTAGTTTCAGTTCGTATGATTTGTATCCACGTTTTGTCTCAAATGCAGTATAACTTGCCCGACGTTAATTATTTTCCTTTGTGATACTCTTACAGGAAAAGAGGAAGACCTTCCGACTCATCTGAAAGAACTCCAAACAAAGGCAAAAAAGCGTCCTCGGAAAAGTCATCAAAGAACTTATCATCACCGCCTTCTACGAAAACACCACTCAAAGAAAGTAAAAGATCACAAAACAAAAAGGATTCGTCCCGTTTAAAAAGTCCACAAAGACGCTCACCTTTCGTCAAAGCAGACAAACTGTCTTCCCCTAGCAAATCGTCCGCTAGGTAAGTGTCTTACAGCTTTAATTGAACTCCTTTCTCCACTCAAGAACAATGTGGCAGGCCTCCTTCTCTTCAAGATAGACATTATACTCAGAGTATTTGAGTTGGTCTTGGAAAAGTTTTAGCGAACATGTTCAGTGGACCAGATAATAAGAACGGCGCAAATACAAGTGAGTGGGAAAAACAGCGAGTACGAGGCGTCAGGGGATAGCAGAGTGATGATAAATGAATGATCTTTTTTTAAAAAAAAGTCCCGTTTCGCTCTCCCTTCCGAGCCATTCGCATATCTGAGCGCTTAGAAAAGGGCAGATAAGTTGGTTTCAAAAATCTTTATAACACTCAACGTAGGATTCAAAAAAAAGCTTTTCATTTGCGAAGTCTCATCTGACGACGGGTGAGTTCTGAAAGACTTCAAAAAAGAGGCGTTATTTCTCTCAGAGATTTGACGAGTTATTCTTTAGTAATCACTTTCTTGGCCGGTTAAAAACCTGAAAGGAAACTGTAATCACCGTTTATTGTTGGCCGTATAGAAAAAATTGAACAAAATGTTCCTNTGAGTTCTGAAAGACTTCAAAAAAGAGGCGTTATTTCTCTCAGAGATTTGACGAGTTATTCTTTAGTAATCACTTTCTTGGCCGGTTAAAAACCTGAAAGGAAACTGTAATCACCGTTTATTGTTGGCCGTATAGAAAAAATTGAACAAAATGTTCCTTATATTGTTGATAATTAATATTCTTTCCAAACGTTAGGAGTCCCCGAAAAGGGCGAGCCACGAAACGACTGGAGTCAGAATTAGATGCTTTACCAGAAGATGAACCCACACCAGACAGTGGCACATCCAGTCTGGACTCACCCAAGAAACCTCTGAGTTCAAGGTAAAACACGGAACTCTGATTTTTTGTTTTTAACATCACTACATCATACTCATATTGGACTTTACTTCAATCAATGCGCAGACAAATACCGCTGCAGGGAAGTCCTAAAACTAAAGGAGGAAAGCAAGTGAATGGATTGGTAAGCTTGTTTTTGCTGAGGTAGGCTTGCCGTTTAACGTGTTATTCAAGCAGTCCTTTCGCGCTAATGAAGTTGTTTTTTTCCGTTTACAGGAGGCTAAAAGTCCAAGTAAAGCAAAAAGAAAGGTATGTTTATTTATTTTTATACGTTTTCTGCAAAGTACCAGGTTTCAAGAAAACCACTCTTTTGGGTTTCTTTGCACACGTACGTGTTCGTTTGGAAATATGATTTTTGGCAGAATTATTTGTAGTCACACGTATTATAACTTGAGTGTTGGCTTGTTTGTGATTTCCTCCCAAAGAACCTTGTAATCACCGGTGACAGTAAAAGAAAAACATGAGTTAATCGCCAGCATATTGCTTGTCAAAGTAATTAACCATTAACCATTGTCTTAGTGGTTTGATTCATATGCTGTAATGCAGGCGTATTTTTTCGGTGTTTTGGGTTGGGGGAAGGTAGAAGGAAAAACATTCCGCTCTTTCTCAAACTGATCGTTTTCTGTTAATGTATTACAGCAAGAGGATGCAGAGTTGACGCCAAGTCCAGCGAAAAAGACCAAAGTATCGGGGTCATCGCCTGTGAAGCGAAAAGAGGCGGCCATAGTTGTACGTATTTTTCCTGTCATTTAATGAAAATTTTTTTCCCTGACGTTGAAAAACAGATACACACTAATACAGATATGCTTTTCCATTTATCTTAGGTGAAAAGAAAGAAACGAAGCAAGCCTAGATGAAAACACAATTTCGCTTCGTTATTGGACAGCCTGTCATTGTGTGTTCTTCTGAAGAAACTGAACCTACAATAGACGTCTTTTACTGTGCGCGGTTTTAATCTCTTCTCTCAAGGATCCATTGCTGTTCAGGTCAAACCATCCAACAATTTATGACGTATTTATTTCCGTTGATGCCAGGGACGTGTTCGTGGTAGTTTAGTTGCCCAAAACGACGTATCCAAGTCTAAGTGATGTAAGAGCTCGTAGCCCACGGTGTTCTGGACTTATTTGGTTCAGCTGACTGACGGTTCGTTTGAAATTCCGATATATTCTGGTTTTTCGACCATTAAACGAAGTATTAGTTAAAACTTACTAAGTTTACGCTTTTAGAGTTTTAAAAGTAGCTAAAGGCTTTAGTTTAAGCTTATGACGGACAACGAACCAACCGTAAGATAGCCTTTTGTACAGATACACGGTAGTTTTATTTGGGAATGGCTTAAGTACATAATAAAAAAGGTTTTAATCGCTGTACCGAGTGAAAGTAGCCTCTCAATGGTGCAATATTTCGTTGCAGCGAGGAGGCCAAAAGTGTGACCTCCTTTAATTAACTCACATTCTTTCATGCAGACATTAACCAATGAGAGGTCGAGGACAGTTTCCAGCTGGCTTCTGATTGAATTAACTCTTTACGAAAGAATGTGAATAGATCAAAAGCGTCACACGTTTGGGCTCCTTGCTGTAAATGGAAGTTTCTGTAAAAATGTTTATACAGTTTCGCCAGTTTTGTATTATTAATTACTTTTAGCTTTCGTCGTCTTTGGAATGTTACGCGAAATGTGATCGCCCCGTAGGGGGTGAGGATGAGAGGTCGGGGTATGACAGTCCATTACTTCTGTGTTATTTTCCTAAAAGCCCTGTTGCCAGGGTTCAACGTGGCGGGCGTTCGAGCGTTGGGGTTTAGGCGAGTGGACTAAAGTAACTGTATAGATCGATATTTAAACGCTAGTACTCTACCCGTAACTGATATCAAAATTTTTACTTATATAGGCCTGCAAGCAAACTCTCTGTTTAAGAGTTCAAGAGTCCAAAAGTTGCCTGTAGGCTAAGCTAAGATTTTGCCCCTGCATATGGTCTGTCCTGTAAGCCCTCCCTTGAAATTCCAAACACGCTGGCAGTGATTTCTTATAATGAATCCAACGCAGATTTAACTTAAACTTCTTATAGTAACTAATAGTTTTGATTTGCATTTGGAAATATTATTCCTATTCATACGACTGTTTAGCAGTACTGACTTTAATGAAGCACTTCTCCATTTCAAAGGAATTTTAATAAAGGATAACGATCATACTTAACGGTGTCATATTTATTATTAGTTCTATTTTAAAGCTAATAGTGCTGCTCCCGTAGAAACGCTCGTTACTCAAGCCAGACCTTAACAAAGCTGTGAAGTTTTTCCGGGTAAGGCAAAATCTAATATTAGTTCTTGGCAAAGTCGGCCAGTGAATGAATTTTCAGGTTGCCATGCGGTTTTGTGAGGATAAACCCCAAGATTGAGTCCTCAGATGAGGACGGCACACTGCCCGTCGCTTATTTCCCTTTAGTAAATGGCCGTTGCCATGCTAAACGGTCGATGCCACCATTGGTAAACAAACTTTTAGTCACGATAGATGTAATATATTCCCTGGATTGAGGGCCTCTTCATATCAGCCCGGCTGGCCCGGTTTCCGAGATCTCGCCTCACCTCTAAATCCTTTGTAAAATTTTCGATGTGTTCATATGAGAGGGCGGGCTGGCTCAGTTCCCGAGATCTCGGTTTTTCTAACCGAGATCTCGGAAAGCGGGCTGGAAATTTTGCCATATGAACACTTCAGCCCTGTTACCGGGATGAAAGCAGGATGAATTCTGGCCCAGATGGCATTGTCTTGCATTGCCTGCTGCGTTTTCCTCATCATAAACATCCCAGTTAACTGCAGTGATACAGCTTTAAGAGTTGCAAAAGCTATGATAGGCGCGAAATTTATAATTTTTGTGTTTTGCATGTCTGCTTTGTTTGTCCCTTCCTGCCAAAACTCGTCCCCAGGATCATTGGCCTTGAGCCCATCTCGGAAACCGGGCTGAAATTTCTCCGTCAACCCAAGGCGAAATTGGTCTCGGTAACCGGGCTCATATGAAGAGGCCGTAAGAGTCGTGGAACCTCAGAAACAGGGCTGCTGCTGCAGGCATACGTGAGTTCTAATAAACCAAGGGACTTTGAATAACACCGCACATCTCACTGTTTGTGCTGGAGCTTAAACGAAAGAGTTACAAGCGGAAGTTTAAGGAAAGTATATATTTGTCCTGTTTCAGTTAGGTTGAGACGTGACTGTTTAAAGTAACGGTAAAAGCAAGCGCTAACGGATGCATTCATTATAAAGCCCGCAGAATTTATGCGACCTTCTGGCTATAAATACTGAGTTGTGCCTAGGAACTCAATTTCTAGTTAATTTCTTTTTTACCTTTTTTTGACCCAGTTACGCCAACCAATAATTCACTTCCTTTCAATCGCAAAGGGGATTCTATAACGGGCTTCTTACCTGGAGAGCGTACAACTAGGGAAGATCATCTCTTGACAAAACCAAATAATGAATTGTCATTTTGTGAAAGAAAAAAGAATGTAGAGTACATACTTTTTTAGCTCAGGCGGACTGGCCCAGGATTGAATCTTCCTATTTAAAAAATTTATTAGCCTGAAAATTTTGTTAAATTATTCACTGTTAAATCATATGTGGAAAATGGGGTTGACTGGCCACCACGAGTTTTACCTCGTAGTTTAAAGAAACTGAGAATGAGCTGAGTGGGAACCATGTCGCATACTAATATTCAAACAAATCTTAACTATTTTCGCGATGGTAATTTCTTTATGTCCCGTGTTGAAAGGGTTTCAGTTTGAACAACGTTGTCACGGTTTTTTTAAGTTTTTCCCGTTCTCATTCTTAATTTTCTGAAACTAGAGAAAGAGAAAGAAAGTGTTGAGGATAAGCATTATTAACCTGACTAGAGCGTCAACCCAGAGGGGATCGACGCTCCCACCATGTGGATGTGTGCCGATATATATTGCGAACGCCTAATAAAATGTTATAGAGAAAGTAGATAAAACTCTTATGAGTTCTCTATCACTCTTATCAATTTTGTATAGCTTTGCTGATTAAGCTTTTATCGGTCCCCCTTTGGCAGTTCACGCAATCATTTCCCCAGTAGTCATCCCATACGACTTACTTTTCAAAACGACTGTTCTACCTTTCTGATTCCCCCTACTTTAAAACAAAATAGGCTTTTGTAGTCACGCCACGTTAACTTACTTATTCGAGTTTCAATTAGAGCCGCTAATTCAGAAAGGTTATCAATTTCGTTTCAGCAAAGACATCAGCACTGAAGCTTTAACTACGATCTGGAAGTTCCAGTACCGAACATACCTGCTTATAAAACCAGGCTGGTCAATGATGGAGAAAGGGTTTGCATGTCTTGTTGAGATCACTGCTGTTCTCAGCGTGCTAGGACTCACATTTCAAGTCCAAGGAGGTGCTATGATCGGTGAGGGGAATGTAATATTCTGTACTCTAAGTTTTGCGTGATTCATGATCAACTGTTATGGCGTCAACAACGAGCGGGTGATGAAGTTTGGAGAATTTTTACATTGATTCAGCACGGTCGTAATCAAACCGGCAGGAAGGCAATTCATGACTATAAACTAGAATAAAAAAAATGACTGCTGTTTATCATTATCAAGTCACTTGAACAGTTGTTGAAGTCTCTGAAGCCAGCAAAGCCAACTGTCGACCCAGTCGAGATACCTAAACTATAGTACCAGATATATACAACACAGTTTTGTGTATACTTGTTTAAGGAGAATAATATCATATATAAAGTTTAATTTTTTTTAAAGTATTTTTCCTTCAAGGTCAGACGCGTATTTATATGGCTGTTCCCAGTAGACATTTTATGTGACATCAAAATATGCGTTTACCTTTTAGAGGATCGAGCAGAAGCGCGTTCAGAAATAACGAAAGAGATTTTGTTTCCCGATTGAAAGATAATTGTTCATTAATCCTTTTCTTTCATATTAATCGCTTAAACGTGGGATAATTTCTTTTTCTCTCAAGATCAGACGCTTTTTTACGGCTGTTCCTGGTACACATTTTATGCGACATCTGAGCGTTATTCATTTAATAGCAAGGACGCGTCAGACGCGTGCAAAGTCAATGGAAGTGACCTTGTTTCTATTGAAAGTAACGAGGAGTGGAACTTTCTGAATGACACAATAAACAAATTTCAAGAAAAAGGAACTGAATACTACATTGGTTTAACCAAAGACGAAGACGGAAGTTGGAGGTGGATAAGTAATAACGACATAGTGAATGAATCCTTTTGGGCACCAAAGCAACCCAAAAATAACATTAATGAAAGGTGTGCAGTAATGTACAAGGATTATCACGGGTACTATGGTTTGTTTGATGATGTGTCTTGTACAGCGAAAAGGCATGGGTATATATGTGAAAGTGAGTATCATGTCATGTGCTGAATGAATTGCTAACAAACTACTGGTATGGCTCTGAAACAATGCTCTGTGTCTTAACAGTGTTGTTATACAGTTGGCGCATTTCCTATTGTATTAATATAAGAAATAAAGTATTTCTTTGTATTTTATAATCAATTTGGTGTAAATGTATTTTGCCATGATGACTTTGAGTTTATCAACTTTAATGCAGGGGGTTTATTAAGGTTTTCAACAGGACAGGGCAACTGAGTTTGACACCCGGGCAAAGAATTGGCAAGGCCCAGAGGGCCTTGATCCCTAGGGGGGTCCGGGGGCATGCTCCCCCGTAAAATTTTGAAATTCTATGGTCGCAGGGACGTGTTTTCCTGCATTTTGAAGCTGCAGACAATGATTTTCAATAACCAAAAAAGATAACTTTTCTAGACAATTTAATCACGATTAAGTGATTAGATGAAGTGCGTCAGACAAACATTTGGATAGACGAAGAGTTTTCGCTAGAAGGTGAATCACAAAAGTGTTAGTTTAACAACTTATCTTTAAAATTTCAATGACTAGACGGGAGGAGCACTGTTTTAACGTGAACGCACTGAAAATTAATTCATTGGCGTAAACCATAAGACAAATAAAAAATCACGCTTCGCTTCGTTGAACATGATGATTAAGCCATTCAATCACAGGCAAGTAAATCGCAAAGAAGTCTACTCACCTCTTGGCCTTTTCTCTACTAGAGGCCCTTTGCCTGAAGCCGAAAAATAATCCGCTATCGAACGCGTTCTTTTCTGGGCCGCCATGCTCACCTGCTCGCAACACTAATACTTTTCAGGTAGTCGTTTATGAAGCACAGTTCTTTTCGCAATGTGTTATGAGGCGATTCTTGTTTTTAACACATAACGAACGAGGGGATTTCATGCCGCGTGTAATAAAGTGGAAATTGAACGGCAAAGTATGTTTTACACTCGATAAGACTCATCAAGAAAAGGGCACTATTGTAACTTAAAACTGTTTTTGATCGTTCCTTGTAATAAAAAGAAGTTCTTTGAGATGTAAAGCAGCCGGGCAAAGTCGTGTTCACAGCCGGTCAATTTGCCCGGTGCCCGGCCCTTAATGAACCCCCTGTTTAATGTAATTCTTATTGTTCCTAAAAAAACTTTTTCCAGTCATGCCGATACTTTAACTTGTACTTTGAGTTTTATTCTGTATAAATAATTCATTACTTTAAATTCCGTCGTTTGAGGTAATAATTACTAGTAAAAACTTTCTCCGTCGTAATATTGCGGTGCATCCTCTTCTGAATTGTTATTATGTTCAGGTCATTCATTGCTCACAACATCAAGGCGGGTGGCTTGACTCGTCTAACAGTGCAATTTCCTTGCAGAGCCAGCGTGTAAGCCAACAACGCCAAAGGAAAGCGACATACCAATATCTGCTACAGGGCCACATTCTACATCCCTTGCACGGAGTACATCCACAAAGCACGGTTCGAAGGCAATTGCTACGACAAGTACGTGCAATTTACTGTAACATGTCTTAATTCATGTTTACCACATGAAGTACTACAGTACTATCAACCGAAGTCTTTGAGGACATTGTTTTACGTGCCTCTCTGGAGACATTTATCAAGAGTACGAATGTTAGTAGACGTTTACAGGGCGAAGTCGGTCAGTTAGTTTTCTCCAAGAATTACATTGCTGCAGTTCTGGTGAAACTGACGCTGGAAACGTACACTGAGTTCGATCAAGTTGCCTTTGTTGTGTAACCTGCAAACATGAAACAGAATTTAGGAGAAATTCTTGTTCAGTTTAGCCAAGAACCATTATGGCTCTTGGTTTAGCTTAACTTCTGATGGATGGGGTCATTTAGAGGTTTATAGTTCAAATAAAGTTTACTTTTCGTTGTCTTTTTTTTAAGCGGCAGTTCCTGAGGAAGTCATCGATGAGTCTCCCAATATCACTGTAATCATCTTGATTTTTCTAGCTGTTATCATAGTGGCTCTAATGATTGTCTTTTTCATCATTTTTTATCATCGACGTCGCAGAAACAAAACGAAAGGTACTTTTTGTTTTTTTGTTCGTAGCACTTTGTTCATTCATTCTAAAACGACTTAATGTCACCGCAACCAATTTATACTTGTTCCCAAAAAATATGATATAAAATTAAACTGAATAGTTTTTTTAAATTATGTCACGTAGCCATGGTGCTGCGTCGATGGTAGAAGGGACACAAGACATTGGGATTGGGTTCATAAGGAGAGTAAATTGACGCAAGATTAATTTTTAAAATTTGTTTTGGACAATTTACTTTTGATGACTCTGTTAATAAAAAAAAAACAGTCCTTTTGTTTAAGCAAAATGCCAGTTTTAGTATTCTCCTTTCTAAATTCAGGACATATACTTACAACATACACAGTTGTTGTTGTTCCTTTTTTAACGATATCCTCTTCTTTTACTCTTCTTCAAGTTTCGTCTCAGTTAGGAAAACAGCCCAGTAACCGGAAAAATTATCTGCACAGCTTCACCAAACTTACAGTTCATTTTAGCATGTCACAAGCGCAGGAAGAAAATATTATCATTCAGACTGTTGGAGAAAACGACGAAGAGAACGCCTATGCAGTTGTAGATGAAAGTATGCGAAAATCCAAGTGTGACCAGGAAGGTCCATCCAACTCCGAAGGAGAAGGAATGCAATCGCCCCCAAATGATGATCACACCGCAGCACACCAATCAGCATTAAAGCAGAATACGGAGAGGTGTGATAAAGGCGACGATCAAGAAGAGAACAGGGACCACGTTTACGCCAGCGTGCATGTTAAAGAAAGCAAAGCGGCCATGTTTTTTAAAACTACGGTTTCTCGGGATGAGAGCCTGCAAGTTTCTTGCACAGAAGACGGTTCGACTGAAGGGAAGGATCCTGTGGAGAATTTGAATCCTTCTTCTTTGGAACAAGGACGGGAAATGAACAGCAACGAGGCCACCAGTGAAGAGGATCCACTTTATAGCAGAATTGAGTCCAACGATCACTTTTATGAAGTTGTTGACAAATCTAAAGAGAAACGAATGGCTCCTAAGGTAGGTACTTTTAACTACCCTAACTAGTCTTTTTCCTATTTATTGCTTAGCTGATATTTGCGAATGATCATATGTTCAACATTACCTTTTTTAAAGGATGCTAAGGGAATTTTCACACTTCTTATTATGTTTAACAATAGTTACACAGAATCAGTTATGAAGACCATCATACTCCCTTGCTATATGGTTCTTTGGACTTGACAGTGCACAACGTTCAATCAGCATTTCTATCACGCATTTTGATCCGGTTACAATAAAAACGTTGAATTTATTAATTCATTCACATTTTGCAAGGATTGTGCACCGTCAGAGAGCTTCCAAAACAACCTACAGAATCGTTGTCTTTTTTAATGTTTTCTTTCTTGTTTTGCTTTTGTTTTTATATTGTTTTATTATTTGCCTATTTTTATACAGAAACCTCTCCCTTACCGCAGTGGCCAATTAAAGTATACAGACGTGAACCACTTACCGAATAACTAAAACGGGAAGGTTCACAGAGCATGCACTCCAACGGTTTACGCTGACATCACTCATTCTACTAAGAGTAAAAATGTAAAGACTGGATTGAAGCCAAGGCTACCAACTATGTGAAATATAAAGTACACTAACAATGAGTACTATAAATTAAATGATGGTGCTGTTTGGTAGGGCCAGANACTTCTTATTATGTTTAACAATAGTTACACAGAATCAGTTATGAAGACCATCATACTCCCTTGCTATATGGTTCTTTGGACTTGACAGTGCACAACGTTCAATCAGCATTTCTATCACGCATTTTGATCCGGTTACAATAAAAACGTTGAATTTATTAATTCATTCACATTTTGCAAGGATTGTGCACCGTCAGAGAGCTTCCAAAACAACCTACAGAATCGTTGTCTTTTTTAATGTTTTCTTTCTTGTTTTGCTTTTGTTTTTATATTGTTTTATTATTTGCCTATTTTTATACAGAAACCTCTCCCTTACCGCAGTGGCCAATTAAAGTATACAGACGTGAACCACTTACCGAATAACTAAAACGGGAAGGTTCACAGAGCATGCACTCCAACGGTTTACGCTGACATCACTCATTCTACTAAGAGTAAAAATGTAAAGACTGGATTGAAGCCAAGGCTACCAACTATGTGAAATATAAAGTACACTAACAATGAGTACTATAAATTAAATGATGGTGCTGTTTGGTAGGGCCAGAGAAAACACTGACGATTAGAAATCAACACTAAATACAAGTAATTAAGAAGCACGCTTGTTCAAAGAGTAAAGACTAGATAAAAATTAATTAGAAACAGAAGAACAATTAGAAACTATTTAAAATTCAAGTTTGATCTTAGATTTAAAATAAGACAATAGGTGTTCAAATTGATTATTCTCTAATTAACAAAAAGTTGTTTGTCTCAGCTGTTCTTACACGATGTGGGTGAAAATCGTCTCTTAACGCCTTGTAATTGTAGACTACGAGCAGTCTCTCTCTTTTCTTGGTCCGTCGAGCAAAACGCCCGAGACACGCAAATGTCCACGCGCGTCGCACGCGCGTGCACTCCCCTTACTAAATCTGAAGAAAAAGAGAGAATGCTTGCAGTCTATTTGTGAATCGAATGGCAGCGACTGTTTACGAAAGGGACGACTGCTCGCACCTCTCTTCTTTTCGCACCACTTGACTTGGGGGTCTAAGTTTCCCATCTATTTTCTCTAAGACTGTAGCCTCTCGGCAGTCTAGTGATCAGACAGTTGGAGCCCCTCTCCTCTAACTGCGTTAGTAATAAACCTTTTCACGGTTTTTTTTCAACTTTTGACATTGACAAGTTAAAGAAAATCCGTCGACACCACTGAAAAGAACGCCTTACGATTAGTAAAATAACTAACGAAGATATAACTCCTCAAAGTCACGCAGTACAAACTTGCCCTCCCCCCCTCCCACAAACGTCTGTAAATGTTCGCAACTTTGCGCTGAGCTATCTTAGCTCGCGCAAGACGTTTCACTTTCAAATTTGGCCAGTTCACTACTTTTAACGCGCTCTTTCCAGTGGTGTCAACCGATTTTCCCTAACTTGTTCATGTCAAAAGTTAAAAAACACGGTGATAAGTTCTATCCGGTGGTAGACTGAGGAGCATTTGCCGCTAACGTGGACATCGACGGAAGCCAAAGCGTGATTTTCCTGAAGCGAACCTAACCCTGCCCACCCGGGTGAAAATCCGCTAAACCACAAGGGAAATACCTGAAATAAAGGGATAGATTTATATTTAATACAACTCTAGAGACAACGTCATTATTCGTGAGGATTACTCGCATGAGTAGACTGACAATAAATCAGGCGGGTCAAAGATCGCCTGTTAACTGAATACCAGACGATAAAAATTGCATTACCGTCGGATTTGTTTGTTTATTTCTTTTTTGTAATTGAGTAGCTGTACTTTATAGGGCGCCAAAGTCAATCTAAACATACCGAAAATGATTATGTAATTCTCAGTCGCTACTAATCAAATGTATACTGTTTCTTAGTGGAAGCTTTTTTTTCCTTATAATGCACAAATTCACAAAAAGAACAAAGAGAGAAGGTTTTTTTCTAATCTGTGCATGCGATTTCTGTTCTCCCGCTTGCAAACAAACATAACTTAACAAAAATAATTTTCTCATATATGCTGTATTACTTGTTCATGACCTGTTTTGCGAAGAAAAAAGAACCGGTAAAAAACATGGGAGACGTAACAACTTTACGGGCTTTTTCATATTTACACATTTCTGATCGGGACTTGGTTAGGAAAGCAACATCGAATTGGTTTCTCCTAAGTCTGATAGTTTAGGCCTACTGTATCAGCAAAAGAAATCAACAAAGCAACGAGGATAGAGATTTTTACAACGTAATAATTCTAAAGCCGAAATATGTCAAATCTAATTCGATCGGGTCCAAGTTTGGGTTCACATCAAGATAAGGAAAGAATAACAAACCGTCACAACCAACGTTCTTACAACGTTGGACATTTTTTAAACGATGCGGTGGTAGGCATGTCTAACAGAACAGCCGGATTTTTATGGATTGTTTCCAATTCAGCAGATGCTACCCTTGGAGTAATCACCGTGGAGTGGATTTCGCCAGTTAAGCACCGCGTGCAAAAGTTGTCCCTTTGTACCGGAACTCGTCCCCAGGATCATTGGCCTTCAGCTCATCTCGGAAACCGGGCTGAACTTTCTCATATGAACCCAAGGAGAAATTGGTCTCGGTAACCAGGCTCATATAAAGAGACCGTAAGAGTCGTGGAACCTCAGAAACAGGGCTGCGGCTGCAGGCATACGTGAGTGCTAATCAGCCGAAGGACTTTAAATAACACCGCACATTCCGCTGTTTGTGCTGGAGCGTAAACGGAAGAGTCACATGCGGAAGTGTAAGGAAAAAAACCTCATTTTGTCCTATTTTAGTTAGGTTTGGACGTGGGTGTTTAAAGTACCGGTAACTAACGGATGCATTCATTATAAAGCCCGCAGAATTTATGCTACCTTCTTGCTATAAATACTGAGTTGTGCCTAGGAACTCAATAGACCATGTCACGGTTTTCGACGCCATCTTGACGAGTAGGCAAACGCGTGAGAAATAACAGTGTTTGTATGAGAATCTAATTTCGAATAATTTCCGTAGAACAGCTGTTCTCAAAAAAAATATGATTTGTAAACTAAAGCTTCACTCCTAAGGATTCTACTGAAAAAAATTAAGGGCGTTACATGCACTAGAAAACCTAGAACCACTTTTTAAATTTTCTACACATTTTACGGTATGTTGGACAGTCCGGAGAAAATTACAGACAAACATATGGAAAATCTAAAGCAAGCCTCTGGAGAAATTTGAGCACAGGTACGCCTCCAAAATTTTTTAGGACAATCCTTTGCTTTGTAGCTTTAGTGTACAATTGATATTTCTTTCAGAACAGCCGTTCTACGGAAATTATTCGACATTAGATTCTCATACAAACGCTGTAATTTATCACACGTTTGCCTACTCGTCAAGATGGCGTCCAAAACCGTGACAAGGTCTATTTCTGGTTAATTTCTTTTTTACCTTTCTTTGACCCGGTTACGCCAACCAATAATTCACTTNTCTAGTAAAAAATTTTGCTGATATTTTTTACTGAAATTTCTGGTATCGGCTTTAATTGATATAAGAAATATGCCAGAGGAATTTCAGAAAAATCGTTGGAGCAGAAGTCCGTAACTAAAAGTCGCTCAAAATTCAGCTTTGAAATTGTTTTGGAGTTTCAAAGATAAATTACTATCAGGAAGAAGGAGACACCAGTTTCAATTTTCGGGACAAGTAAATTCAGTGTTTTTTCTAATTCTGAAAACAGAAGCCGATTGCCTATCGTGCTATTCTTTAGAAGGTACTTTTCAGTTTTAGAAGCACTATAAATTGCTCCAAACTTTGCTCTGACGTCGAATGAATTGTTCCTCGACATTTTTAACATATCCCTTGGCAGTTTTGGTTCAAACTCCTGCTACATACATTTTGATGTATTGCAATGCATCCTCAACGGCTTTTCCTGCTGTACGTTGTTTCCAATTCAGGAAAAAAGTATTGGGATTGTAAGGTACCTTGTATCGAAGCTCAGATAGAACTGTCGAGCACCTTTGTTTATGACCAGAAAATGAGCACGAGCGGCAGCTCTGCGAGGAATTCGCACCTCAGCCAGGGGGGACGAATTTTAATGATGCCCATGTCTGTGAACCGATCTGTATAAACATGTATTGCAGAGCAAAACATAATAATCAAGAAAAAAATACCCATTCAATGAAGGAAGGAGTGACAAAAATTTCAGAGTTGCAAATTTATTCACGGGCAGTATTTGGGCGATAATTTTATTTTGCACTGTGATGTTTTTCGGTTCACAGGCATGGTCATCATTGTCGTTCGTCCCCCCTGGGTGAGGTGCGAATTCCTCGCAGAAGTGCCCTCGTGCTCATTTTGAAGTCATAAACAAAGGTGCTGGACAGTTCTATCTGAGCTCTGATACGAGGTAGCGTCCAATCTCAATACTTTTTTCCTAAGTTGGAAGCAACGAACAGCAGTACAAGTCGTTGAAAATGCATTGCAACACATCAAAATGTATGCAGCAGTAGTTTGAGCCAAAACTGCCAAGTGATATTTTAAAAATGTCGAAGAACAAGTAATTCTACTTCAGAGCAAGGTTTGGAGCAATTTATAGTGCTTCTAAAACTAAAAAGTACCTTTTAAAGAATAGCACGATAGGCAATCGGCTTTTGTTTTAAGAATTAGCAAACGTTGAATTTACTTGTCCCGAAAATTCGAAGTGGTGGCTCCTTCTACCTGATAGTAATTTATTTTTTAAATTCCAAAACAATTTCACAGCTAAATTTTGAGTGACTTTTAGTTACGGACTTCTGCTCCAACGATTTTTCTGGAATTCCTCTAGCATATTTATTATATCAATTGAAGCCGATACCAGAAATTTTAGTAAAAAACATCAGCAAAATTTTTTACTAGACGCGATTTTCTTTGAACAGTAGGGTCCTTTTAAGCGCTAATTTCTCGAGAAATATTTACCATCAATGAAATCGGAATATTTCGTATTATTGCCGAATGATATCTGTTCTTCTTTGCAAAGTTTCGGAGCCATCGCGTTAAAATCGAAAAATTTATGACGGAAAATTTGTCACAGCAAAATGCTCTGGTATTAATTACGGAGCCACCTTAAACTTACTTTTCAAAACAGCTGTTCTACCTTTCTGATTTCCCCTACTTTAAAACAAAATAGGCTTTTGTAGTCACGCCACGTTAACGTACTTATTCGGGTTTAAATTTGAGCCGCTAATTCAGAAAGGTTATCAATTCCGTTTCAGCAAAGACATCAGCACTGAAGCTTGAACTACGATCTGGAAGTCCCAGTACCGAACATACCTGCTTATAAAACCAGGCTGGTCAATGATGGAGAGAGGGTTTGCATGTCTTGTTGAGATCACTGCTGCTCTCAGCGTGCTAGGACTCACATTTCAAGTCCAAGGAGGTGCTATGATCGGTGAGGGGAATTCAATATTCTGTACTCTAAGTTTTGCGTGATGATGATCAACTGTTATGGCGTCAAGACGAGAGGCAATTAATGACTTCTGATTTGTATCTTTTCGTTAAATGAATCGACGTTGAGCTGGTCTCCAATACCGGTGATGAAGTTTGCAGAATTTTTTTATTAATTCAACACGGTCGTAATCAAACCGGCAGGAAGGCAATTCATGACTATAAACTAGAATAAAAAAAATGACTGCTGTATATATCATTATCAAGTCACTTGAACAGTTGTTGAAGTCTCTGAAGCCAGCAAAGTCCACCAACTGTCGACCCTGTCGAGATACCTAAACTATAGTACCAAATATATACAACACAGTTTTGTTTATACTTGTTTAAGGAGAATCATATCATATATAGAGTTTTAATTTTTTTGAAAAAGTATTTTTCCTTCAAGGTCAGACGCGTATTTGTGGCTGTTCCCAGTAGACATTTCATGCGACATCAAAATATGAGTTTAACTTTTAGAAGATCGAGCAGAAGCGCGTTCAGAAATAACGAAAGAGATTTTGTTTCCCGATTGAAAGATAATGTTTCAGTAATCGCTTTCTTTCATATTAATCACTGAAACGTGGGATAATTTCTTTTTCTCTCAAGATCGGACGCTCCCTTACGGCTGTTCCCGGTATACATTTTATGCTGATACTCAACAGGAGTCAGTCAATTTTTATAAGAGCAGAGCCGCCTGCAAAGTTAATGGAAGTGACCTTGTTTCTATTGAAAGTAACGAGGAGTGGAACTTTCTGAATGACACTATAAACAACTTTCAACAGAGTGATGGAACTGAATACTTCATTGGTTTAACGAAAGACAAAGACGGACTCTGGAGGTGGATAAGTAATAACAGCACAGTGAATGAATCCTATTGGGCACCAAACCAACCCGTCAAAGATAAGAGTAATATAAGGTGTGCTGTAATGTACAAGGATTTTAACAAGAACTATGGTTTGTTTGATGATTTGCCTTGTACAGAGAAAAGGCATGGGTATATATGTGAAAGTGAGTATCATGTGTGTTGAATATAATTGCTAACGAACTAAGGTATGGCTCAGAAACAATACTCTGTGTCTTTACAGTGTTGTTATACAGTTGGCGCATTTCCTATACGAAAACTTTATTGTATAATAGAAGAAACAGTTATTTCTTTGTATTTTATTATCAATTTGGTGTAAAAGTATTTTGCCACGATGACTTTGAGTTTATCAACTTTAATGTAATTCTTATTGTTCCTAAATAACTTTTTCTAGTCATGTCAATACTTTAATTTGTACTTTGAGTTTTATTCTGTATAAAGAAATCATTACTTTGAATTCCGTTGTTTGAGGTAATAATTACTAGCAAAAACTTTCTCCTTCGTAATATTGCGGTGCATTCTCTTCTGAATTGTTATTATGTCCAGGTCATTCATTGCTCACAACCTCAAGGCGGGTGGCTTGACTCGTCTAACAGTGCACTTTCCTTGCAGAGCCAACATGTAAGCCAACAACGCCAAAGGAAAGCGACACACCAACATCTGGTACAGGGCCACATTCTGTACCCCTTTCACAAAGTCGATCTACAAAGGACGGTTCAAAGGCAATTGCCACGACAAGTACGTGCAATTTACTTTAACATGTCTTAATTCATGTTTACCATATGAAGTACTACTATTAACCGAAGTCTTTAAGGACATTGTTTTACGTGCCTTTCTGGAGACATTCATCACGAGTATGAATGTCAGTAGACGTTTACAGGGCGAAGTCAGTCAGTCAATTTTCGCCAAGAATTACATTGCTGCGATTCTGAGGAAAACGCTGGAAACGTACACTGAGTTGGATCAAGTTGCCTTTGTTGTGTAACCTGCAAAGGTGAAACAGAATTTAGAAGAAATTCTTGTTCAGTTTGGCTTAACATTCAGATGGATGGGGTGATTTAGAGGTTTCTAGTTCAAAGAATTTTTACTTTTCGTTGTCCTTTTTTTTTTTCAGCGGCAGTTCCTGAGGAAGTCATCGATGAGTCTCCCAATATCACTGTAATCATCTTAATTCTCCTAGCTGTTATCATACTGGCTCTTTTGATTGTCTTTTTCATCATCTTTTATCATCGACGTCGCAGAAACAAAACTAAAGGTACTTTTTGTTTTTTTGTTCGTAGCACTTTGTTCATTCATTCTAGAACGACTTAATGTCACCGCAACCAAACTATACTTGTTTCCAAAAAAATATGACATAAAATTAAACTGAATAGTTTTTTTTAATTATGTCACGTAGCCATGGTGCTGCGTCGATGGTGGAAGGAACACAAGACATTGGGACTGAGTTCATAAGAAGGGTAAATTGACACAAGATTAATTTTTAATGACTCTGTTAATAAAAAAACACAGTCCTTTTGTTTAAGCAAAATGCCAGTTTTAGTATTCTCCTTTCTAAATTCAGGACATTTATATACTTACAGCATACACAGTTGTTGTTGTTCCTTTTTTAACGATATCCTCTTCTTTTACACTTCTTTAAGTTCCGTCTCAATCAGGAAAACAGCCCAGTAACCGGAAAAATTACCTGCATAGGTCCACCAAACTTACAGTTCATTTTAGCATGTCACAAGTGCATGAAGAAAATATTACCATTAAGACTGTTGGAGAAAACGACGAAGAGAACGCCTATGCAGTTGTAGTTGAAAGTAAGCGAAAATCCAATTGTAACCAGGAAGGCCCATCCAGCTCCGAAGGAGAAGTGGTGGAATCGCTCCCAAACGATGATCACATCGCAGCACACCAATCAGCATTGAAGCAGAATAAGGAGAGGTGTGATAAAGGCGACGATGAAGAAGAGAAAAGGGGCCACGTTTACGCCAACGTGCATGTTAAAGAAAGTAAAGCTGCCATGTTTTGTAAAACAACAGCTTCTCGGGATGAGAGCCTGCAAGTTACTTGCACAGAAGACGGTTCGACTGAAGGGAAGGATCCTGGGGAGAATATGAATCCTTCATCTTTGGAACAAGGATAGGAAATGAACAGCAACGAGGCCACGAGTGAACAGGATCCACTTTACAGCAGAATTGAGTCCAACGATCACTTGTATGCAGTTGTTGACAAATCAAAAAAGAAACGAATGGCTCCTAAGGTAGGTACTTTTAACTACTCTAACTAGTTCCTATTTATCGCTTAGCTGATATCTGCGAAAGATCATATGTTCAACATTACCTGTTTTAAAGGATGCTAAGGGAATTTTCACACTCTTTGTTATAATGTTTAACAACAGTTACATAGAATCGGTCATGAAGACCATCAGACTCCCTTGCTATTTTTGTGGACTTGACAGTGCATAACGTTCAACCAGCATTTCTATCACGCATTTTGATCCGGTTGCAATAAAAACGTTGAATTTATTAATTCACTCAAATTTTGCAAGGATTGTGCACCGTCAGAGAGCTTCCAAAACAACCTACAGAATGGTTGTCTTTTTTAATGTTTTCTTTCTTGTTTTGCTTTTGTTTTTATATTGTTTTATTATTTGTCTATTTTTATACAGAAACCTCTCCCTTACCGCAGTGGCCACTTAAAGTATACAGACGTGAACTACTTACCGAACAACTAAAACGGGAAGGTTCACAGAGCATGCACTCCAACGGTTTACGCTGACATCACTCATTCCACTAAGAGTAAAACTGTAAAGACTGGATTGAAGCCAAGGCTACCAACCATGTGAAATATAAAGTATACTAACAATGATTACTATAAATAAAATGATGTTGCTGTTTAGTAGGGCCAGTTAAAAAAACTGACGACTAGAACACTAAATACAAGTAACTAAGAAGTACACTTGTTAAAAGAGTAAAGACTAGATAAAAATTAATTAGAAACAGAAGAACAATTAGAAACTATTTAAAATTCATGTTTGATCTTAGATTTAAAATAACACAATAGGTGTTCAAATTGATTATTCTCTAATAAAGAAAAAGTTGTTTGTCTCAGCTGTTCTTACACGATGTGGGTGAAAATCGTCTCTTAACGCCTTGTAATTGTAGACTACAAGCAGTCTCTCTCTTTTCTTGGTCCGTCGAGAAAAACGCCCGAGACACGCAAATGACCACGCGCGTGCGCGCGTGCACTCCCCTTACTAAATCTGAAGAAAAAGAGAGAATGCTTGCAGTCTTTTGTAATTGTGAATCGAATGGCAGCGACCGTTTACGAAAGGGACGACTGCTCGCACCTCTCTTCTTTTTGCACCACTCCCCACTATCTGAGCTGGACGCCGAGAACAGAGGAACAAGCTACGCTAAGTCCGGTAAGGGTGATCTTCCTGAGGCGAAACCGGCCCACCGGGGTGAAATTCCGCTAAACCACGAGGGAAATACCAGAAACAATGGCATAAAGTTTCTTCAACTCTTGAGACAAGGTCAATGTCGTGAGGATTACGCGGGGTAGGAAAGCAGGGGAAGCCCACGTCACCCCGAAATGGAGAATGAGGTCGAGCAAATGAAAACCAAAAAGCGCCATTTTCCCATCCTTTATTTGGGGGTCTAAGTTTCCCATCTATTTTCTCTAAGACTGTAGCCTCTTCCAGTCCAGTGATCAGACGGTTGGAGCCCCTCTCCTCTAACTGCGTTGGTAATGTAGTAATAGACCTTTTCACGGTTTTCTTTCAACTTTTGACATTGACAAATTAAAGAAAATCCGTCAACACCACTGAAAAGAACGCCTTAAGATTAGTAAAATTGCCAAGCTTGACAGCGATTTGTTGAAAACTAACGAAGATAGAGCTCCTCAAAGTCACGTAGTTTTACAGACGTTTGTATGGTGGGGGCCTCAAACTTGCCCCACCCCCCCCCCCCGCCCCCCCACACACACACTCACATACAAAAATACGTAATCGACTGCTATGAGAAAAGAAGATCATTAGTTGTTTAGGTTAACATTGATTATAGTTCCACTAGTGTGCAATTTGTGTTATAATTTTAAATTATTTGGATAAAGTCGATA